TAAGAATATTTATAATATATATTAGTAATAATTATAGACAGAGATATAATAATTATATTTAAATTAGATATAAAATCTATTTTTTATAAATTAAATAATTAATTTATTTATTTTTATTTCTGCAAGTGCTTGTTATATCTTATATTTTAAATTATTATTAGATAAAAAGTCTTGCGGATAGTTTTTTTTATTATTTTATTATTTTATCTTTTTTTTTATTTTTTAAATAAAAACTATACTCACGAATAAATTTTTTATAAAATTATAAATAATATAGATTTGCGGCCGATTCTTAAATATTATTTTTATTAAAATATTTTTTTATTTAAAATTTTCAAGAATCTGTTCTAATTCTATAAAATTAATAAAATTTTTAAATAATATTTATAATTATTCTTTTTTATAAAAAAATATTTTTACAAGTTTATTTTATTTATTTTATAATATTTATAAAATAGTAATATATAAAATATATTATATATTTATAATTTTATAAATAACTTTAGTCTATAGACTTATAAGTCTATTTATTTAATAATATAATAAAATTCTTTATTTTATAAATCTAGCTTCTTACTAGTCTGTTTTTATAAGAAATATTTTATAAATAATTAAATTATTTCTTTTAATATAAAGCTTTTTATCTATTTTTTATAATTATAAAATTATTTTTATTTTTTATAAATAGAAGTTATATTTTTTTTTATTTTAATATAAATTTTTTAAATATATTTAATTTATTTAGAGATTTTAATCTCTGCTTTTTTTTCTTCGCGAGAATCTATTTTAATAACTTACAGATATTTTATAATAATAATATAAAAAAATAATTTCTTTATAAAAATTTATAAAATATTATTATATATAAACTCTGTAATAGATAATAAATCTATTTAATTATTTTATTTAAAATTAATATAATTTTATAAATATTATTTAAAAATATTATTTAATTTTTTAATTTAATTATTAATCTGCGGATAATAAGCTATACTTAGCTTTTTTTTTATTATAAATATATAAATAAAGTTAGATTAGAAATTTTTTATAAAAATATTATTATAATCTATAATACTCTTCGCGGATATATTATATAAATAGAAAATCTTTTTAATAAAAAGTTTTATAAGATTCTCTCTATTAAGATTTTTTTATAAAAAAATAAAATAAATTATTTTATTATATTAATTTATTATTATTAGAATATTATTAAAAATCTTTTATAAGTTTTTAATAATACTAGTATTTATAAATAGATTAATAATAAAGTTTATTATTATTTTTTTTAAAATTTTATAAATATAAATAAAGATTTTAATAATTTTTATTATTTTTTATAAATTATTTTATTATCTTAATATACTCTGCAGGCTTGATAGTATTTATTTATAAAATTATTTATTTTTAATTATTAAAATTATTATAATATTAATATTAATATTTTTTTATTTATAAAATAATCTATAACAGGATTATTATATAGTTTTATAAATATTTAATATTTAAGAATATATTTATCTAAGATATATAATTATTCTGTTTTTTATAAAAGATTTTTATAATTTTTTTATTATAAAATCTTATTTATTTTTTTTTTAATAATTTAAAGCTTTTAAAATCTCTTAGTTCTTCACAGATTTTTTATATTTATTAATTTTTTATTAATATTATAAATACTGCAGCTAGCAGCTTTGTAGAAGAATTTTTATAATATAACTTTTTTATAATAATAATATTATTTATTATTTTTTTTTATAATTTTTTATATATTTAAAATATATCTATAAGTAAGAATTTATTTAATATTTATAAGTAAAATTTCTGTCTCTATATTCTCTAATTTTTATAGCTTAAATAAATTAAATAATTATTATAAAATTAATTTATTTAATTTTTTATAATTTTTAGCTGCTGTTTTTTTTTGATAATCTGAATATTATAAAAATATATTTATAGAATTTTCTATATCTAAATAATAAATAAAATAAAATTAAAATATTATAAATTATTATATTTATTATATTTATCTTTATAATAGCTCTGAGCTTATTATAGAATATTTAAGATTTTTATAATTAATAAATATTTTTATTATAAGATTTATTTTCTCTAGTTAGTAATATTATTCTCTGAATAATTTTATTATTATAAGTAATTTTTAATTATAAATTTTATAATTTCTTTTTACTATAATTATTTTTTATAAATAAAATATAATTAAAGTTTACTGACTGTTTATATTTCTCTATAATAATATATTATTAATTATAAAATAAAATATATTTATTTTAATATATACTTGCTTTTTTTTTAAAAAAATAAATAATTATAATATTCTTTATAAATATTATTTTTAACTATTTAAAACTCTTACAAGTATTAGCTATAAGAAATTTTATATTAGTTTTTTTTTTTTTTTATAAAATTTCTTAGTAAGATCTATAAATAAGATTATTATTTATAAGTATTTTTAAATAAATTATTAATATTAATTTATAAATTTTATAAATTATAATATATTTTTTAGATTTTATAGCTCTAATTATTTATAGATTATTATAATTTATTCTAATTCTATTTATATATTTTTATAATTAATAATAAATCTAAGAAAGTTAATCTTTATTTATACAAAGTAGTACTTATTTAGTTTTATATATAGATTTATCTTAATTAAAATATATATAATTTTATAAACTTGCTTTTTATATATTTTTAGATCTTATAAATATATTATAATATTATTAAGATAAATAATTATAAAATTATTTAAATATTTTATAAATAAAGAATTTATAAAATCTTAAAATTCTGCAGATATATTAATTAATTTAAATAATATAATTAAATATTTAAATAAGCTATATTTTATTTAAAAAACTATTTTTTATTTATAGTCTGCTGTAATTCTTATTCTATAATAAATTTTATAAATATTAAATTATATAAATTATAATATTTCTGCAAGCTGATTAATATAATTATTAATTTATAATAATAAATATTTATTTTTAATAATTTATTTATTTAGCTTGCGGTAATTAATATATATTTATAAGTTTTTATTTTTTTTTATAAAGAGAACTAATACTCTGATAAATAATTTTAAATATTAAATTTATTTATATATAAAATATTTTTATAAATATTTTTAGAGTATTTTCTGCTTTATAAATAATATTTTATAAATTAAATCTATTTTTAATTTATAGTTTTTTTTTAGATTAATCTTTAGATTAATATCTAATTATAAGAGTAAGTAGTTTATTATTTTATTTTTTATAAATATTATCTTAAATTTATAAAGTTATTCTAAAAATATTTCTAAATCTATTTCTTTATAAATAAATCTAATTATTATAATTTATAATTATTTAATCTCTGATTCTTTTATAAAAAACTTTATTATAATAATATATTATATCTTAATTTATTATTTTTTATAAAATCTTAAATAATATTAATTAAATTCTGTAACAGAGATCTCTGTCTAAATTTATAATATATTTAATATAATTTTCTTTATATTAAATATTATAATAATAATTTTTTTATAAATCTTATAATTATTTCTTATATTTATAAAATTAATTTTAAATATTATAATTTTTTTTAATTAAATATTATTATTATTTCGTAATTTTATAAAAATCTTTACAGATATTATTAATTATTCTATAATTTTTATTATTATTATAAATATTAGATTTATTTCTATATCTATATTAATTAAAATATTAATTTTTTTAAATAAATTAGTTTTATTTTATATAAGTAGTTGCTCTTATAATTTTAGAATAAAATATATTATAAAAGATATATTTATTAATTTCTTATAATTTATTCAGATTATAAGTTATTTCTTAAGATTTTTACTCTTATATTAATAATAATTTTTTATAATATAATCTTATTTTTTATAATTAAAATATTTTATTATCTCTACAGATACTAATATAAAATCTTATAAAATAAATATTTTTAATATATTTAATTATAAAATATTTTTCTGCAAAAATCTTTTATAATAATTCTAATTATTAGATTATTTTATTTAATTTATAAATAATAATAATTTTTTTCTTATAAATAATTAGTTTTTTTATTTTATTAATTAATACTTAATCTTAGTTTTATAAATAATATAATTAGATCTTATTTAATAATAAAAAAGTCTGGCTATTTACAGATTTTTTATCTTATATTTTATAAAAATAATTTAAAAAAAATATAATTATATAATATTTAATTTTTATATTTTATAATCTAGCTCTGTTTTTATTTTTTTTAATATTATAAATATATAAAGTTTTTTTTTTTATAGAAAATTATTTTTAAAATTTATAATTATATTTTTTATTTATAATTTTTTAAATTATCTAGCTATATTTTAAAAAATTTATAAAAATTTATTTAATTATTTTCTTAAAAGAGTTTTATAGTTTTATTTTCTTATAAATTATTAAATATATAATCTAAATAGATTATTATAATTTATATTTATTAATTCTTATTTTAATTATTAATCTTTATAATAGATTTTTACTGAATAATAAATAATTAAAAAATAAAATAATTATAAGTATAATAATATTTATTATTTTATAAAGAATATATATATATATTAATCTCTTTTAATTTTATAAATAAAGTATTAGAGTTATTTAGAAATTTGCAAGCTTTTTTATTATTTATAAAAATTTTAAGTCTCTGCTTTAATTCTATGATTTATTAAAATATATTTAATTATTTATAAAGATTCTTAGAGAATAGTAAGATTATATTTATTTTAATTATTTTTTTTATAATAACTTTGCGGTTAATCTTTAGAAGATTAAGAGAATTCTTATAGATATAATATCTAATATTTTATATAAATATAGTTTTAACAGATTATCTTATAGATTTTAAGTAATAAGATTATAAAAATATATATTAAGATAGTATAAAGAAAGTATATCTATTACAAAGTTAAGATAGTGTCTGTATTACTTAAAATAATGTCTGTATTACTTAAAATAATATCTATATTATTTAAGATATTATTACTAGTCTTTTATCTAGCTTTTTTTATAGATAGATATATCTATAAGAATTCTATAGATTATATATTATATTAATATAATTACTTTGCAAGAGACTGTCTTCACAGTATAAATATTCCTCGCGATATATTATATCACAAGGATTATAAGGATTACTATTCTTACAATATAATAATTAAAAACTTAGATAAAATTAATTCTTTTCATTCTGATAACAATCTATTCTCTAAATTATCTTTAAAATTATTTATATTTTTATTCTTATTATTATAAAAGATAGTAATTATCTTATTTTTCTTTTATTTCTTAAATATAAAGATAATTAAATCTGAATTAAAATTATTAAATATATTCTAATATTTCTTATTTATAATAAAATAATTAATATATATTTAAAATATAACTATTTTAATTATATCAGAATAAAGATAGCTTTGATAATAATAATAAATATTTTAAAAATTATAAAAAAAATATTTAATATTAATATTATTAATTATAATTAAAAGAAAATCTCTAGCTATTTAATAGAAAATAGAAAACTAATTATAATACAATTTTCAATAAATAAAAATATTAATATATTCTATAATATTTAAAATTATATTAATTTAATTAAAAATATCTTAAGAAGCTATATATTTTTAATATTTAAATATATTTTAAATTTTTTATATATCTTAATTATAAATAAAAGTCTTTAATATTCAAAAATATTATAAAAAATCTTATTCAGATCTAATAATAATTTAGAGATTATTAATAATATATTAATTATTAGATTCTGACTATAATAAAAATAGAATATATTTTTTAAAAATAGTTTAATATTTATAATACTAGTTAATATTATTATTTAGCTATATATCTTTCTTTAACTTCTTAAGCTTTAATATTAGATTTAGAATAATTATAATTATATAGATATAGTTTTCTGTCTGATAAATATAATAATAATATTTTTAAAATTTTTAATATATATTATATAAGCTCTTAAGAATCTTTTTTTAGAATATCTATTTTTTTATTAATTTATTGATTAAATAATCCAGATAATTAAAAAGATTATTATAAATATTATAAATCTTATAAATAATAGACTTATTATTTTTAGAGAGATAGAAAATAAAAAAATATTCTATCTATTTTTACTTAATTATAATAAAATAAAAATAATTAATATTATTATACTTATAATACTAAATAAAACTTTTAATTACTTAATAGAGATTAAATATCTAATAAATTATAAAATAAATTAAGTTCTAGTAAGTTTTATAATTAAGAAAAAGATAATAAACTAAATTAGATTTAAATTATTAAATAAACTAAAACTTCTTATAATATTAAGAGCTTATATTTATAAATTATATAATCTTTTAAATTTATAATTAAGAATTAGTATAATAAACTAGCTGATAAAAGACTTCTAGAAACTTTTTATAAAAAATTAATATAAATAGTTTCTAGAAAGATTTTATATTAATTTTTTATAAATAGCTTTTAAAAAATATTTTTTTTAAAAATTCTTAAAATATTAAAAAAGATTTTAAGACTTTTATTATTATTCTTCTATATATATTTAATAATATTATTTAAGATTTTAATTTAAAATTTCTGCAGAAAAATATTAATTACAAATTAATTTATATAAATAAAACAGAGTCTCAGAGAATATAATACTAGCTTTAAATAATTCTTAAAAAATTAAAATTAAATAAAATATTATAAAATTAAGTATTTTAGCTTAGTTAAGTTTAAGATTTAACTAAGATTATATTAAATATTATATTATTATTACTAATATTATTAGTTATTATATCTAATAATTAATAAATAAGATTATATTTATATAAGACTAATAAAATAATTACAGCTAGATTTTAATTAATATAAGATTTAAATATTAATTAAAAGTCTAGTAAAATCTTATAATAATTTATATTTTTTATTAAAAAATATTTAATTAAAATAAGAAATATTTTCTAATCAGAACTGATTTAGTAATCTATTATAATTAATATTTATCTAATATTTAAAAACTTTAATAATAATTATATATATATCTCTTTAAATAATTCTATAAAATATTCTTTAATTTATATTTAATTAAAAAAATTTAATTTTCAGCAAAGAGATAAAACAGCAAGATTAATTATTTATTTAAATTAAATATATTTAATAATTCAGAATAATAACTAATAAATAATTATAAAATATAGAACTTAATTCTAAAAATCCTATTTATTATAGATTATAAAGATCTAGAAAAAGATAATAATTAAAAAAGATTTATTTTAAAAAAATAAATAAATATTTATAATAATTTTTTACTTAATATCTAACTAATTATTTATTTAAATATAATTAATAATAATTTCTTCTTATAATTCTTATAAAGATAATAACTTATAAAACTAGTTTCTAAGTTTTTAATTCCTGAATATTATAAGATATAAAGATATATAATATAATAAATATAAAAGATTTTATTAAAAAATAATATATCTTTCTAAAAGCTGTTCTATATTATTAATAATTTTTTTAATTAAAATAAAATAATAGTTTTTAAGTTTATATATAATCTTTAAAAAAAGTTATCTTCTATTATTAATTCTGAAAAATAGAAAGTTTTTCTTAAAAAATTAAATATAAAATAATCTTTTAATTCTTTGTAATATATATAATCTTAAGATTTAAAAAAAAATCTAACTTAAGAAGCTTATCTTAATTTAAATACTATTATAATTTATAAAAATCTAAGAAATAAAAAAAAACTTAATAATATTTTTTAAAAATAAATTAAATAATTATAATTAATTTATCATTCTCAAGCTGTTCTATAAATAATAAATATAAAAAAATAAAAATAGAAAATTTTATAAAGATAATTTATTTTATTTTAAAATATATTTTTATATAAATATAATTTATTATATTTTAATATACAGCTGAGATATCTGCTATATTTTATTTATTTTAATAAATTTAATAAATAAAAATTTATATCTAAAGTCCAGAGTTATAAAATAATTTTTTTTTAAATAAAATTATTTAAAATATAATAAACTAGAATAAAAAATAGATTTTTATAAAAAGAATTTATAAAAAATGTTTATAAAAATTTTTATAAGAGCTATAATATTATAATATAAATTTAATATATTCTATTTATTCTATTTATCTATTCTATTTATTCAATCTATTTAATTTATTTAATCTATTTAATCTATTTTATCTTAATAATCTAATTATTCTTTTTAATTATTTTATATATAATTTATAATCTTTTTAATTATTTATTTATTTTTAATCTTATTAATAGCTCTTCGAGCTATATCTTATTTATAAATTCAAAAATAATCTAATCCAGGAGCTAGTAAAAAATCTAGAAAATTAATTATAAAAAATTATTTAGTCAGAACTATTATTTTTATTATTTAGTTAGATTAAGAATCAGATATTAGTCTACTTTTTAATATATAATATCTAATATTTAATTAGATAATTATTAAAAAATATAATTACTAAGAATAACTAAGTAGATAATATTATATAAAAATTTAATCTTTAATATAAATAATCCAGCTTTTTTAAATAAAAAATAAGAATATAATAAACTATCTAAGCTAAATTAAAAAAAAATAAAATAAAAATAGTATATTTATTTCTAGTATTCTAATTAATAATTAATATATAATTCTTTTAATATTTTATAATATAATTAAAATATACAGCTAAAATAAAATAATAATTATATATTTTTATATATATTTCTTATTATAAGAATAATAATTTTATAAAAAGCTGAATTTTATTAATATAACTAGAATTTTCTTATTATTTCTGATAGATAATAATAAAAAAATATTAATTTTTTTTAATTATATTTTTTTAATCTAAAAGGCTTTTTTTTATATATTTTTAAATAATAATAAAAATAGCTAGATTAATAATTATTTAATTTAAATATATCTTAATTTTATTAAAGCTTAAAAAAATATAGTAAATAAATCTTAATATTAAAAATAATTAAAATAATTAATTATCTAATTTTTAGCTATACTATAATTAGATATAAAAAATTTTTTAATCTAATTATAATCTGGTAATTAGATATAAAAATTCTAATTAATCTAATCTAATATAGCTGTTAGCCACTCTAAGCAAGCTATATTTTAGTTATAAAACTTATAAATAAATAAAATCAGATTTTAATAAGTCCTAGACTTGGCCGAGCTGGCTTACTGGTTCTTCTTAACCCGGTCAGGCTTGGTATTTTGACAAGCCTAATATATAGCCAGTTGTTGAACTATAATATTCTTTTTTATAAATTATTTCTAATATTAGAGATAAAATCTATAAGCTATAAAAAATCAAGCCTATATATATAAGAAGAAATAAATAATATTTAAAAAAGAATTCTTAGAGATCTGATAATTTTATATATATATATATAACTCAGCAGATTATTAATCTAATAAGACTAACTAGCTGAGTCAGATAGCTCTGGGATGTATTCTATAGTATATATATATATAAAATTATTAGATTCTTAAGAGTTCTTTTCTGAGTATTAGTTATTTCTTTTTATATATAGAGATACAGGTCTTCAAGTATATAGACTCCACCCCTAACAGCTAGATTATACTCTCAGATAACATTTTTATAAGTCATAACTATATATTTATTAAAGTAGTCACCTGTAGAAAAAATATATTAATTATTATTAGCTAATATTAGAGTAATAGATCTAATATAATTTATTATTTCTAATTCTAATTTTAACAAGCTAGAAGATAAGATAGCAAGATAAGATTATCTATATCTATTAACATATGCAAGTGGCAACTACTTGTCACAGCAAGTACAACTCGCCCCATCTTCACCGCCTTCGGCAGTACTCAGGTACGGAGTACTGCCCCCGTACTCCGTAGAGCGTACGCATCCCCCCCTGAAGTAACTTGTCGGTACACAAACCTGTTCAGTGTCAAGAGGGACCCTAGGTAGGGTGTTTAGAACTAATACTTACAGAATATTGAACAGGATCCGTACTTAACACTCCTTCCCAACTTTGAACACGTACACGGTGCAAGTTGCCCAAAAGTGGTGTCATTCCAGCATGGATGAGTAGGGGAGCCGCAAGTCCCCAGAGAAACAACCCTTGCTGACGGAAATGTAGCCTTTCGACTGTCAGAGCTTCTGCATTGGATAAGCTGGCAGTTTTGGCTGCCAAAGCCCCGGAATGCGGCGGCAACTCAGATATAGAACGGCTCATCCAACATTCTCTACTGTCAGCTGATAAGTCTAACAATTCTCTCAATGGGATTCTACACAACCAAGCTCCAAACTCACGGGTGCCTATGGTTTGTTTTCCCTTTCTCTTTACCATGTCTTTTGGATAACCCAGAAACTAAATTCCACAGGGTATGAGAGAGTTAGACGTACTACTTGCTCTATGCAAAGCTGCTTCTGCGATAACTAAGTTTGAGCACGCATCAAGATTAGCATCGCAATTGTCGCAATACCTTCCCGAGTCCCATAGCCAGATTTTTCGTCCATCGCCCTTTTTGCAATGTGTAAAGCCTTCTCCTTGGGAGAATCTCACTTATAATGTTACGCAGGCTCTCCTCTCGCTGGGCTCTAATTACCAATTGTTACGCAATACCGTGCTCAGTGCATTCAATGCATATCTGTATAACTGCGCAGAGGCCATCAATGCTGTGGCGCCTCTTTATCGCTACGATTCGAAAGCAGATAAAAATAATGCAGAATATGAGCCTGTCAGCGTCTTATCCATGTCCCTCTCCCTCCTTGGCTTCTTGAGAGCCTCGGCTGGCTTTACTTCATTTTGGACCGCCAGTGAGAAGCTGCAAATAGTTGACCACGTGCGGTCAATGCTCTCCGAGGAGTTTTTGGTAGCTGTCGAGACTGCCTCTTCTACCGTGCGGAATTCAAGCGCGTCAAGTAAACTACTTAGGGAGTGGAGGAGATACACTCGTCGCTACGATGCTGATGGACGCCCGTTAGGGGCCATGCTGCTACAGGAAGGATATATGCACTTTATAAAATCTTGCGCTATCTCTCTGGTCGGGGCACCAGGCTCGTCAGATGAAGACCTTTTGCATGATTATTTGAGTGGTGCGTGTATTGCTAGAAGCTCCAGCGGCTCAGAAATTGCTCTTGTCGATCGGATGGCAGCAATCATCGCCGAAGATCTTCAGCTCTTGGAAGATGGTTCCGATTATTTACAGCTCGGTTCCCCTCGGCAGCAGCAACTTGCGTTCTCTATGAAAGCTTTAGCCTTGATTGGTTATCTGAATTGTGTCATTCTGAGCGAGGAAACAAACAAGGAAGATTTTCTTTCGTGGCTGGAGGACACACTTATGGATACGAATCAAATGGCCTGTGCTGCCTTAGCGGCAGCGACACTGAAAAGTATGGCGATCGTTTCACGAATGTCTGCCAGCAGTGCATCTTCTGGAAGCCGGTCCCTCTTGAGGTTTATCACTGAAGGCGGTGTGCCTGCTGGATGTACTGGCTTCATTGCCGCAAGGTGTCTTGCCCAAGTACTTAGTATTCTATCCCAGGATGCTATTATTACCACCCTATATTCATTAGGAAATGTTCTGAGCTCCGGCTCAGGCACGGACAAGTCCTATCAAGGTCAGTTGATGGGGGAAACTACAGTACATGGAGGCCTCCCATTTTCTACAACGAGAAATGGTAGTGTTGCTTCCTTTCCATTGGACGGCGAGGCAAACAATCTATGCTACAGAAATGTTGTCCAGGCCATTGTAACAATCGCAACTAGTTGCAACGATGAGAAAATAAGCGCGTTGGCACAGTCCATGTTGCTGCAGAAAATAGGGAAAGTGAATTCTGCTGTTGATGCATTTATCATCATAGAGACAGCCACACTATCGTTGAGCACTGGACAAGCCGAGTTTCAACTTTTACTCAAGTTCTACGATCGTGCATATCGGGATGGTGTAGCAAGAGGCTATAGCAGCATCACCGATGCAGTCAAATGCGCGTTGGTATATCTCGCTGTTACACTGAAAAGGAGCTCGCCGCTATACAAGATATACCTGGTCCATTTGCTGGAAAGTGTCGTGAACAGAGGCGATGCTACTGAACTTGAAACCGAGCGTCAGAAGGAGTTTTCTCTCACGCCTAATGATATCAGCCCTCTTTTAAAACCCCTAGCGTTACTTGTCTCTTCTGAGAAAAGCCGCGCAGGAATTTTAGAGCCGGCTGCATATTATGACCAGGATGTATCTATCCTGTTCCGCGATGCGTGGTTCAACATTGCAGTGCATGGGATATCAATCAATTCACCTGTTGGCCAAAGCCATTTCGAAGAGCTGCGCTTGCTCGCACAGAATTCACCTCCTCTCATCTCCGAAGATCGTATGGAGGCAATTGAGAGCGATGTCGAGTTGAATACAATTCTTAGGCGTGGAATGGGCTCACAGAATTTTACGGAGCAAAAACGGACACTGATTGCTGAACTTCCTAGCCATGAAGCTGACATAAAGCGCTTGAGTTATCCACGGGTAGTCTTCCTCAATGCTACGCTTGTGGTTGAGAGTCTTCGAGCCTTATCGGGGGATTGCACCAGATTCCTTGATTACTTTCGCGACCCTGTCCTAGCTACCCCCGAAATGACTAACTGCATGACTGCTGTTGCAGAAAAGGTCGTGACTTGTTATCTTTCACACACGCTCTCTGGAAAACATGAAGCCTTTGCGGTCCCATTTTTGTCAAAGGAACTGGCGGGTTTCTTTGTAGCTTGCAGCCATCGCGTAGAAAGGGTACAAAATGTGGCAGTACTATGTGCTGACAAGATTATAAGGGAATGTCCATCGGCCCTGTGTGAGAAGAAATCGCTTTTTGCCTTGCTGGAACTCTTGACGGTCATGTGGCGTTCATGTCTAGAAGGCGAACTGGATGAATTCGAATGGAATCCCTCATTTACTTCACCTACAGGAATTGTCAAGGCCGATCTACCCGACAATTATAACTTCAGAAAGAAAACGCTGGACGTTTTCCTTGAACGATCCAGGGCATGGGTGACAGCAGCTATGGATATTGCCCCCCTAGATATAAAGGGCTTACTTCAGGTAATGTTTTCCATTGCTCGATTCAAAGTAAGCGGCTGACACATTGGCCCAGACCTATCTGTCTCTTTCGGACGACCTGGATGGGTACGGCAACATTCTGATGGGGCGCTCATTTGCGCTCGAAATGGGATCACTTATTCCCAGCAGTGATCAGCGGCTTGGTAAGCTAGATCTTTCTCGGATCATCCACTATAGTCGTCTAGACTACACTGGAATCAGTCCGTGTCTTCGACTGTATACTGATAGCGGCATGCTCTTCCTTACAGGGTCTATCGAAAGTCACGGCTTTAGCAAGATAAATGTGGCCTCGGACTTTATCTCTCAATACTCCACACGTCAGAATTACCGGATATTGTCAATTCAAGGAATCACTGAGTCCAGTGGTTGGTAACACCCCGAATGTTTAAGAACGTACTTGGAGCTAATGAACAATAACTAGATTGCGAAGGCTCTACTCCTTCCAGGTCGCTTCTCGCTGCAAGCCAATCTGTGGAGAATAATTTGTGTCGTCTTTACTCACAGATGAAGTTAGGTGAATACGTCTCTGGAGCCGAGGCTCGGGATATTCTACGGCAAGCTGCTAGCCTTCTGTGCAGCGATAAAAGTCCTTCTGCTTCCCTTGTTCAATATCTAGTCCGGGTGCCCTTCCAGATGTTTTCCAAGGAGTTTATGGATATTGGCATATCTCTTTGGCTTGGTGTGATGCATGAAAACCCAAAGGTGAAGTCCAAAATTCTGGTTGAAGTCATTGGATCTTGGGAAAAGTCGATTCAGCACGAGAAGGGATTGTTTGATCCGTCTTGCAAGTGAGTAAAGACTTTTTGTTGCGCGTGCCTATATGCTGACTCAATGCCATATAGCTCCGTGGACCCCCTGTTTACGAAGATCGAGCTCCTACCGACTGATAAATCCTTGATGGCTAGAAATCAGAAGAAGGCCCAGAGTATCCTAACACCCCACTTCCAAATTCTTCAATTCTTTGAAAGTCACTTTGCTGCTGTTCGATTGGGAAACACACAAGTGCAGTCACTGTTCTATCGTCTCATTGATAAAACGACCGTGGCACTTTTGCAAGCCAGTGGCCATCCACTTGCCAGAGAGTTACATTTTCGCATCATTCTGTTTAGTCTGAAAGTATTGAAATACTCGCCATCTTCAGATCAGAACCTCATATGGAAACTCAAGGACCAGATTTTGTCGGCCGCTTTGACTTGGTTTAAACACCCGCCCAGGCAAGTACCGCCTAGTCATATCTTTCATTACTTTCTAATCATTGGCTCTGCAGGTGGTCATATGGAGGCAATCGGTTACAAATCAAAGCTGAAGACAGGATCCTTAGTGATATTGCCTCTACTCTGGCAGGTGTCACTAGTATTGCCTGTCATGCCCGTAGCTCCTTCAGGTCGTTGCAGGCGAAACAAGATCTCCTTCAAATTCTTCTCGAGAATGAAAGATCACGTCTCCGGGTCTGGCTTTACCCGTTGGATCAAGATCGGAAACACGTATCACAATTGGCTGGTGCTAAAAGTCCTACCGAGGTCCGTTTTCTCCGTGACAGAACCACCCTGTGTTACCGATAAACGGCAATAAACCTAACTTCTCACAGGATGTGACGGCTCTTTTACGTCTCGCATGGGCTGAAGCCCCAGGATTGGCTATATACCTTTCCAACCGCTTCCCATCTCCGAAACTGAGGAACGACATTAGATGGTTGCTACTCAACTTTCCGGAAAAAGCCATTGACGAATCTAGTGCCCTTGAAATTCTGCTTGGGTCAGCTCTCCCGGTTGATGTCCATTATCAATTAAAGGTATATTGCCGTCCGGTCGTCCACCAACGGCAACTTTTCAGAGCTAATAAAAAGCAGTATCTTCTATATTGGAGCCCAGTCAGCCCCACGGAAGCCTTAACATATTTCCTTCCTGCCTATGGTAACCATCCTTTCATAATGCAATATGCTATGAAAGCCCTGGAAAGCCATTCTGTCGATGTTCGCTTCTATTTCGTTCCACAGTTGGTGCAGGCTTTACGATACGATGCCCTGGGCTATGTAGAACGCTATATCTTGGAGACGGCCAAATTATCTCAATTATTTGCGCATCAGGTTATATGGAACATGAAGGCTAATTCATACAAGGATGAGGATTCTCAGATTGTGAGTATACAGACCCACACGACATTGCTTCGGGCGAGTTGTTAACAACAAATCATAGCCGGATAACCTCAAACCAACACTGGACGGGTTCATGGATGTGTTGGTTTCAAGCTTCACCGAAGAGGAGCGTGAGTTTTATGAAAAAGAATTCTCATTTTTTAATGAAATCACAGGTATCTCCGGGAAGCTGCGACCCTACATCAAAAGAAGTAAGCCGGAGAAGAAGGAAAAGATCGAAGAAGAACTCCGCAAGGTCAAAGTTGAAGTTGGTGTATACCTTCCAAGCAACCCAGAAGGTGTTGTTGTAGGGATTGATCGCAAGTCTGGCAAACCTCTTCAGAGCCATGCAAAAGCACCATATATGGCGACTTTCAGAATACAGAAAACAAGAGTTCTCTCTGATGATAGCAAGCCCACCCAAGATACCGGGCTACATGCTTCAAATCAGAAACAGCTATCAAACCCAAGCGATACAATGTCAACATTGAACCAAGAAACCTACGAAGTTTGGCAGTCGGCCATTTTCAAAGTCGGTGATGACTGTCGCCAAGATATGTTGGCCCTGCAGATGATAGCAGCTTTCCGGAGCATATTCACTAGTGTTGGGCTTGATGTGTGGGTATATCCATATCGAGTAACTTCAACGGCTCCTGGTTGTGGTGTTATTGACGTACTCCCAAATTCGATTTCGCGCGACATGCTGGGCCGCGAAGCAGTGAATGGTCTGTATGACTACTTCATCTCCAAGTACGGAGGGGAGGAGTCTATACAATTCCAGGAAGCACGTACGAATTTTGTCAAGAGTATGGCTGCTTATTCTGTTATCTCCTACCTCTTGCAGTTCAAAGATCGACACAACGGAAACATCATGATTGATGATGCCGGTCACATCATACACATTGACTTTGGATTCTGTTTTGATATTGCACCAGGGGGTGTACGGTTTGAGCGCGCACCTTTCAAATTAACATCTGAAATGGTTGCTGTGATGAGTGGCAGCCACCACACACACACTCATACCGGTAGCAGCTCTGGAACTGGACTCGGTCTGGCAGGTGGTGGCTCTTACGGTCCTACCAGCACACAGCCTTATAAATGGTTTGAGTCACTGGTGGTGAAGGCCTTCCTTGCTTCACGGCCATACAGCTCAAAGCTGTCTCATATTGTGTCATTGATGCTTGATAGTGGCTTGCCTTGCTTCAAACCTGATACGCTCAAAAACTTTCGCGATCGGTTTGTACTTGAAAAGACTGAGAGAGAAGCGGCCGAGTATATGCGAGAGCTTGTCCGGAAGTCATATATGAGTGTCTCAACCAAGGGATATGACCAGTTCCAGCTGCTGACCAACGGAATCCCGTATTGATTTCCCATCTACTCATGCCATGTTACTTAAATTTTTCATCTTGAAATTTGGTATTCCGGATTTATCCGTTTCTTGTATATTTTCTCTCGTCTTAAAAAAAGCACAGACAACCATTTGACACCATGTTGGTCATCTCAGACACAAGGGAGCACGAAGAGGACATGTTGCAGGTCACGAAGGAAGAAGTAAAACTCATATATTATGGCTGTTTTGATAAGCCGCTAACCCATGGCTTGAGGCAGCTTATGTCCTTGCTATGTGTGAATAGGCCAAGCTCCGGAAATAAACTATGCCTGACAAATCCCTGGGACATGGAGAGCATAGCTACCAGACACACGATAGTTACGCCACAAACTTCATCTTGCAAGGGGAGGGGTCTTGTAACATGCTGGTGGCGCCCAATAGAACAACACCCGCATCCAAAAATGCTCAGAATTGGGGCATCGGTTTCATCAATGTATGTAATATAGAAAACCTACCTAGCAATGTGCGATGATATCCCCCAAGGAGATTTCCAAACGAAGGACCTTTTACCGATCACTTACTGGAAGTTTGGTCGGCCAAGCAGTGCAGACTGCAGGCAAACAACAAATCCTATCCAAAAACACAGAAACGCTACTCTTGTCCCAAGCCAGGATTGATCCCGGCCTTGGGGTTTCCTGAAAGTGAACCTTTAGGTCATTGATAAATGAGATCCACGTGATAACCACTACACCATGGAGATATTTCCTGCGCTGCCGAAAAGTGAAGATATATAAGGGCCTGTTCGATCATACTCTTCTTATGACCTACTTACTTCTAGGGGCAAGGGTACTCAAGTATTCATGATGATCATTCATCTCATCTTGACACTTAAAACGGATAGGGGGATCCGACCAGCAGTGCTCGATAAACATATAATCACATATCATTAAACAAAGTATTTGATAACAATAACCGAGTTACAGAAGTACCTGAAGATTTATACAGAGAGATGAACAAGGCAATGATATGAAGCTTGTTAACATCTGTCACGTCAACAATGACTCAGAACAATCAGCAAGACTGAGACGAAAGGATGCTGCCTTGCTGAGTAGATTCCCGAATCATAAGCATAAGCATAAGTACTAGTACTGGACTGTGCTGTTTTGATATCCAGCTTTGCCTATTGATTTTCAAGATTCTTTTCACCACGTATTCCCTTGTTCCACGATGACTCACCGTCCCCCATCATGATAAAAAGAATGGATGCTGAGGACCTGGAAGCAAAGGGAAGGGGCCAAATAGGATAGAAAATGATGGGGCGAAGAATGTAGAGAAACAGACGAAGGACAGATCAGAATGGACAAAGAGTAGATAGAAATAGCTTTCATTTTCAGTCCATAAAATCACCCCGAAGTATTTTTTCCTGGAAAAAGTCCGGCTTATTCTGCTTGGGTTGCTTTGGTATTTCGCGAGCCGGTTGCTCCATTGAGGCAACTGAGGCGGCCCGTTGATGATGAACTTGGTAGCCGTGTTGACCCGCGTTTGCTATATTCTGATTTGAATTGGGCGAAACAGCGCTCAAAGAAGGAGCTCGCTCGGCCCGGGATCGTAGAGCTTCAGACCAGTTGAAGCCTTCGCCTATTTCTCGCCAAGAAAGGTTAGATACATCGCTCTAGGAAGAAGCTTTTTTGTACTTGCACATATTGATACGGTAGGGCTAGGCATAGGCGCGCCGGTAAGATCCATTTCGTCGCCCTCCAACCACCGGGGTCCCAGGAGAGGGATATCTACCATTACCAATGCTTCCTCCCCGAGCATCTCGTAATGCATGTGCGCCAAATGAAAGACGTCGTGTAAACGGAGAATTGGGAGCAGCGCTGAGAGGTCCATTCTCGCTGTCCTCCATGACGGCTTCCTCGAGGTTCGCAGGATTGGAGCCCACGGAGCTGGACACACTGCCATGTCGGAGATTTCGGTTTCCAAAAGGGGAAGTCTGTGTTGGGGAACCAGAGAGTCCCAGTGTAGTTATTGACAGGCGTCGTCCATGATTCGGTTGGGTTCCAGCCACCGAATTAGTCATGGGGCCAGGCGAAGCGCCCGCAGTAGCACTTTGGCTGCCTGACCTAGAAAGGTAGTCTGTAAAAGAGAGTCCCGATGCCAAGGATGCTCGACGCTGGCGTGCCGAAGAGGGAGGAGGAACTGATATCGGAGATGTCGAGCGGTCGTCTGACATGTTAAAAAAGTGGATGGGATAGTTAGGCCAGTGCAAACAGAATGATTTGTATCAAAGCAAACGCAGAGATGCTAAGATGATGGCTAATGGGTTTAAGATGAACGGCCAAATATGGGGCCGGTGGGGGGCCTGGCCTCCTAGGCAAGGGCAAATGGAATGTGCTCGGTTTGGTAAAGTACAAGGAGATCGGAATTGGAAATGATACTGGTAAAGCATTCGGAGCAAAACCGCGACATATGACATCAACCGAAGAGTCGTTTCAGCAGAGGAAGGGATGGAACAGTAACCAGAGAGATCCCCATTAATAGTACCCGGATGAAGCACCCACGTCAGTCAGTGACCCCAGGAAAGTATTTCAGTAAGGCCAAAAATCCAACCTGGGGAGCAGTGGCAATAGCAGAGCGGATGTATAGAGGCCAATTGTTGATGTCCAAGGTGATTGGCAAAACAGCTATCGCTCTGCGGGAAGGGAGTGTGTGAATGTTCTGTTTTGGGTGGAGTGACAAGGCAACCTAGATATCGGACGTTGCAGTGTATCCGGTCAAGGGCCTAAATGGAGGAGAGAACTGGATTGATGATGAATGAATAGATGGTTGGATGGGTGGGTGGGTGGAAGGGATGAAGGAATGATGGAATGATCAATGAATACTTTGTGGCAGCTACCCCACAAATGGCCCAATTGACCGTGGTCCAGAACAGGCCTAGCCTTCTTGGGAAGAGTGTGCAGCTCAATCCGGGGTCGATGATTCATCATTTATCACTAACTAACTGACTAACTAAGTTAACTAACTAACTACCTATAGTTATGTAAGTATGTACGGTGGTGCGTATGTAAGGTAAGTAGTTCCCCTAGTTAGTAGGTACTGTTATGGAGCCAGGCGGTAAGGATGTTTGGAGGCGCTATGGTATGCTGCAGGTAGGCAGCCCTTGTCGTACGATAATAATACTTGATGAAGCTATTCGCAAATAGAAACCACTAATAAAAACTGATGATATTGCACTATCTAGGAGGTGAGGAGTGAGAGACAAGGCTATCTAGGCTACTAATCAGTCGTAGGTGGCAGTCGCCCATTATGGCAGGTCCAACTCTCTCCCTTCACCGCCCCCTTGGCAGCACCTAAAGTACTGAGTAGTAGTAGTACCTACGAGTACAGGTACCGGGTGTTGTACCCACTCGTACAGAGTATATATATATAGGTACAAGCTCTTGAAACCAAATATCCACACGCCTGTTATTGTCTGCTCCCACAAAGCCCTGGGAGTAAGAGTAAGATACACACAATGCAGTCTCAGATGTTGTACTCAAAGCAGAGATGTCTACTTAATTAAGATACGCTGTCTTACCTCTCGGCTTAGAGTGCCCAAGGCATGTCATGTCCTCTTGAGTTAAGATTTTCTGACATGAAATAAGAGGGGGCATGGCCCTAATGGATGCAGATATATCCCGTTGACCATTTAAGTTGCGGTGAAAGGGGGAAGTGCTTCGGGGGTGGCCTCAGTCCAGGCTTCAATAATTTCATGTCGGAGACTTATTGCTTTCTCTTTCCTTCCCTAAACTCTTCCTGTTGAACCTCCTAAGTTGTTTGCCCTTGACTCTTTTCTTACTTTTTAATCAATCCTTTCTCCTCTACTCCCCCAAGCACGCTCTGATTGCGATTCCCTTGGCCACTAATCTTGAGGTTGGGAGTGGAACAGTTGTACAAGTTTCCTACCTACCTCAGGTTCAATTTCAGTGCCATCGCGAGCAATTTTGACTTCCCGATTCGCATTCCAAGGGTTCCTTAATCCCCTTGTACGGTGAAACGAGACACGCGTGGTTGAGAGCCACCGGATCCTGAACGGCTTCCCGATCAACTGGCCCCCCATATCCGTGGGTTCTCGCACCTTCTCATTAGTGATCCTTTCCTTACTTGCGCCGCCTTCTTCTTCCGATGATTCAGCCTCCCAGAAGACTGCCCCTCGTGCAGAGTCATTGATGATTCGCCCATTAGGAGCGGTGGATGTCGCGGGCGTGGGTGTCACGTCCAAAGATTCAGGTTCACGCATGTTGTTGTCCAGTCGTAGTGGCATCTTCAAAGATAAACTCTCATCATCTTGTATCGGCGACATCATACGAGCGTATCCGTAATACTCGCCGGATTTGTTGGCAGAGAAGATAAGAAAGACATCGTCTGCAGTCTGACTTTTTGTCAGCAAAACATGCCTAATCAAGAAGATTAAACCGGGAAGGCATTGACTTCACCTCGTAAGCTTGATTCAACTGTTCTTCGTTATGAGTTTGGGTTGCCCAGATGTTGCTCTGTCGGCTGAGTTCGAGGTCGTCAACGGTCAAGCTTTTGACTATGAAGTACTTGCTAGGAACTCGAGTGCGCGAAAGGTCATTCTTTGTATCCTTTCCCTCGGTCTCACCGTCTTTTAATTTGACTTCACTATCCTGCGGTTGTGGAGATGTAGAAGAGCCTAGAGGGTCATTGCTAGACCCGGGAGAAACAGTCCCCTGGCGTAGCCGGCAAACAAGTCGTGCGCCTTGGAACCTAGAGTCATTGAATCTTGACAGCGCCGCGGAACAGGAGATCGCCGTTTTATAGTTGATAAACGCACAGTTACTCTTGGGTATAAGAAAGACACTCTCCAGCTCCTTTGTAGCGTCTCGAGAAAAGTAGTCCTTCAGGTCAACAATGCTTGTACCAGGAGGAAGATTTCCGACCCAGAGAGCATTTCCGGATTGTTTTGGTTTTCGCGATGGCCCCCTTGAAGCGTTTGAAATATTTGTATAGGGAGTATGCAAAGTTGGATCTGGTTCACGTTAATAACCAACCCACACACAGTTTATTACCAGATATTTATAGTTAGTATTTCTCAGCATACCTGTTGAACGAGAGGGTTGGACGGGAATAGGTCGCATTGGAGTGGACCCATCTACGATAGTTTTTGAGACATCGTATTCGATATTAAGACTCCGTTGTTTCTTTCCTTTTCTGGGTCCCGATGATGTTCTGGGGGAGTTTGAACTTTGTAGGCCTGAATATTGAATACACGAGTTCTGTTGGCTTGAAGATGCCATAACCGGAGGACCCGTTCCAAGCTCCGATGCTGCCATGTATGCTGACTGTAGATAATACCTGTGTCCATACCCGGATGCTTGACCGGGGATGTTGACATTCAAGTGAGACGGCGAATGTGGCATTAAAGATTGATCCACCACCGGGCCACGAGGTAAATGAGAGCCCCCGTGTTGCTGCTGGATATAAGGCGGGTAAAACTGGTAAAAAGGGGCATTGAAACTCATACTTGCATTCATTGGAGCCCCAGGAAAAGATGCCAACGGATGCATTGCGTATACAACACCATGCGGATGAGCTGTGGGAGCGAAGGGCTGCTGGATGGGGAGTTGCTCATAGGGAACTGAATGAGATTGGAGGCCGGGTAGTATGGATCTTACGTCTCTCATATCCAAAGGCGAGGGCACATTTCCATGTGCTGATTGTGTCATGTAGGTCCGTGTTTCGAACCGATTCTGCGCATTGTCCGACCGCGAGGTCTCGAGGGAAATCGTTGACGCTGAGCAAGGCTTTAGTTTTACAGTTACCATGCAAATGAGATGGCTCATAAATAGACCGAAACATACCAGATTGCGAATGAGATACTGTTGGCTCACACACATTCTTAATCGAAAGTGTTTCAGTGTCATCCACAGCCCCCTGGATTGACTCTGATCGAGTCGAAGGTGCAATGTTATTCGAATATGTCATGGCAAGGTAAACCGACGCAAGCAACAAGCGCAATACAGGCAACCATTCAAAAACAATTAGAGGCTTTGAGGATAGAACAACTCAGTCGCAATAATTTGTCAGGGACAAGGGCTACCACATACCTTCCCAAGCACAGTGAGACAGCAGCGCTTTCCGTATTCTGTAGGAAGTAGATGACCGAAATGATGATAATTGGATGCTGGAACAGGTTAGAGCCTATATAACATCATACCATGGACTTATTACTCTCAAGATATTTCCGAGATAAACAAGCAACAAAGGGTGACTAGGATCGAAGAAGGAAGTTCCTCAAGAGAAGAGTGATTTGAGGGAAGAAAAACCACAAGCAAGAAGCTGGCTAAAGGCAAAACAGGAATAACACGAATGATAGGCGGTATAAGAAAATATGATGCGGAGATACCGATGTATTGAAACAGCAGGAAAGCAGAGTCAAGATGGCAACTAAAAGAGGAGAGGGAGTGAACTGAGAGGATTTTTTTGGAGGGGGGGGGGGGGGGGAGGGGGGGAATGTGCCACTGTGTACAAATTCACAAAGTCAGAAGGGATTTAGGCATGAAATTTGCCGGTCCCTTCTGAGGGGAACAAAGTCCATTGGCAAGACTGAACTATCAAAGACGCACAGCAACCTAATGGACAGGCACGCACGAATCGCTGCATAGCGCCGAAAGATGGTGGAGATCAAGTCAAGCACGGAGAAGATTATAGCTGGAATAATTGGGTATCAGAGGCACGAGAGGGGCATATAGGTGGCTGTGGGGGGGGGGGGGGGACACGCGAGGCATATTATAGGACCACAGACAGGGGGTGAAAAAGAAAGGATTATGGTACAAACAAGCCACATTTTGGTTCCACAAAAGACTAGAGAGAAGGAATAGACCATGCAGCAATCGATTTATAGCATGCGCGCTCTACCTCGCTGTGGAAGAATGCATTCTTGAATGGCAGGCGAGGACCACAGACTGGGAACGTAGGGCACAAGCACGATGTGTAGTGGCTTTTAAATCGCGCCAATAGAGGGGAATAAGGCAGATGTTCCCAGGGGGTTAATGACAGCAGCTGCCAGTGAGAATGTTTTTCATTGTCCCCTGAACCCTAGAGCGCATGGAGCCTTTTGTTTGGGGTTAGGAAGTGATGTGTTCAGGCAACTGAACAGACGAGCCTGTTGGAATCATGGCTGATAGCAAGGGTGGGATTTCTCCTATGGGGGAGAGCTGGGAGAAAGGGGGGGAGGGGGGGGAGGGGACGGGTGGGAATTGAAGGCGAGAGAAGCAAATTGAAAAGGCCAAACAGCTCACTGGAAAAGCAGCGGAAGGGATAAGGAAGAACCAGTAGTGAGAGAGAAAGATAACAGCAAGCATAACCAAACATACCTTTGGGTCTGGACAGATGGGGAGAAGAATGGTTGGAATACCGTGCCTCAGGTTATTCTGGATTGAATATCGATGGCAGAGAGGGGAGACGACACCCTGCAAAACAACAAGTGGTGGTGTCAAGGTCGGTGAAGAGAGAAATTATCACTGTCAGTAATGAATAATTCTTGTGCAGGCGCACCGTGGCCCAGGCCTGAAGCGGAGACTATGGAGAAGGAGGAGGGCCCTCCAGACCAACCAGGTCAGCAGAGCCCAGGGAGTCCGATAGATCTTCTGACCTCCAGAGCTCGGAAGGGCAGGTCCTGCGCCGTAAGGTGGGTAAGGAAGATTATCGGAACGGAAATGAGGGCAATAACGGGGCCCCTTTGTCAGAACGCAAGCTCTGGGTCCGACTTGACTGGCGTTTGGCGACAACGGTGGCGCACGGAGGATTGTGAGGCCCCCAAAGGCCAATGATCTAGAATCCTGTCTTTAATCCTCCGCCCTTCTTTACCCTTCCCTTTGTGGCTGTGGCTGCCTCCAGTCTAAAGGATAGTATCCACAGCTTAAAAATCGGGGCTGCGATGCGGATCGGGCCTTGCTTCAACGGCCTAGCACCTTACAATGCGCGACCCAATCAAGTATCACACAAGATCGACAGGCTCGATCCCGATCTTTTGGCCAGGCATTCACCTGGCAGAAAATATCCAAGACGTGGGTTGAACGCCAGGACAGCCCGAGCGGGAAGAGGGCCAAGTGAAGAATGAGTTAGTTTCGTAGATAAACAAAGTGACAAGCTAAAGAGGGCGAGACCTGGCAAGAAGAGGATCACGCTGTCTCTATCAAGAATGCTGGGGAAGCGAAGGGAAAAGTTTTGGGGGGGGGGGTTCGAGTCATTTATAAAGGTTCGATGATGCATCTCATTCATTGCAAAAATGATAGGAAGATCAAATGATGAGATGACAAAGAAGGGAGAATCAAAAGGCTGAGGATAGCAACACGTATACTAAAACTCAAAAAAAAATTAAGATCAAAAAATTTATCCATTTGAACAAAAAATAAAAATAAAAAATAAATAAAAATCAAAGCCAATCAGATGGGTCCAGTCAAACTGAACTTTCAGAAAATAGGCTGTGAATTTCAGACCTGGATTATTTTGAGAGGAAAGGTGGCATGTCAAAAAGACAAAACAACCAAATCCAGTTGGAGGCGGAGACCAAGTCTTCTTAGGGTTACGTATTAATTCAAAGGTCGGAGCGTAAAACAAGTAGGTCTCGATGGCATCGATGGCTTCTGCAGCAGCCCATGATTGGGTACCGGGAGCTCGTCCCTGGCCGGTGGAATCCATGGGTCCCTCTGACAGTTTAAAAAAAGGGAAGAGTGGTGGGTAGTAGTGAGAAGGATCCAAGGGAGCCAACCCGCTTTTCGTCTCCAAGTACTCCGTAGCGTGAACATGAACGTGCACACTAGCAGACACCGCTGGGAGTGGCAAATTTCAGAGGGTCCTGCATGTACTGTTCCGAGCGTCTGATGCCCCTTAGCCCGAGATGCATGCGTGGCAGTGGCCACCGGTATTGACAGCTGCAGGAAATCCATAGCGCCAGAATAAACTGATCTACAAGCAGCCCTGGCTCTAATACATAGGAGCAAAAATCACTGTGGCTGATCATTAGCAAAAATCCAGAACACCATAGGCACACCACGGATGGAAAAGCAACCTGTAACCACGGATGGGATGAAAAGTGTTTTGCGGCTTGGAGATCATGTTCATTTAAGCATCTGCTATACTCCGCAGTGCCAGTAGGAGTATTGCTGTATGTGCTGGGTGGAAAAAGGAAGGGGAAAGCACCGCCAGCCCTAAGTCCAAGCAAACAGGAGGAGGTGGTGGGTGGGGATTACTGAGGGGAAAGGATGAGTACAATGTAGTACGGAAGTATTATGGGCCTGCAATCCCGCCATGACCATCTAGGATGGATGATAGGTAGGATCACAGTACTTATGTTCTAGTCTAGTCAACTCGCTTAATTAACAGGGATGCTAATGGGATGTGGGGGCAAATTATCGTAAGGCAGGGAGGAAGAAGAAATGACAAAATGGCAACACAAAATACGGAGTACAAAGAAGAACAACCGGAAGGACAATGAAAATAATCATACTATGTAGTAAGGTGGCTGATTGTGCGAATAATGATAGGGTGAGCTACTTAGCCTACCACCTGATCAACTGGGTGGGTGGTGGTGCATTCCCACTAGGGCCCGATCCCCATCCCTCCGAGCTCCCTGGCTCCCTAGTTCACAGAGCCTTGGGTGGAGTCTCTGAGCGGTTCGGCCTTCAATGGGAGCTGTGGCGCACATGCGTTTGCTGTGGCTGGCAGCAGGTGTTTTCTTCTGGCTTACCGCAGAATAATTCTTCTGCCTGACCTCTATGATCCGCCCCTCCACAGCCCACATAAGTAGTATTTACTGCTCACTGAGGTATATAGTACTCCGTACCAGTAGGTTCAAAGCACCTACTTGCCTTATCTATACACATCACCCTCATCGATATGTGCTAATAACGTATCGCTTTGGCCAAGGAAGTACGAGGCATACTTGACGAGGATCAAACTATGTATTATCAGTCCTTGAGGTCCCACTCTGGTTTGGTTTTCTGTGCCTATATCTAGATCGTGAAGAAATGGCTCCCAGGTACCACCGCACTACAGGTCCCTCAACTCCCTCACCCCAATTATTCTTCACATGCAAGGATTTTGAGTCCATAAGTAATCCAGAGGCAGAATCCGATGGCAGTAATTGGGGAGGTATAATAAAGAAATTGAAGGATTCTGACTTGCTACTAGGTATGTGCAGTAGTGAAGTCATAAGATTAGCCGAGGCACAACTGTGATGATAGAGATGGAGGCGAACACCTTACTGTTAGTACTGCGTATCAGAACTTACCAGTCCGTCTCTGTTCTCATTAAGATGGCTGTTCCCTATCGGTATCGCATGTATTGGAGTATTTCATACTACTACTAAGGTATGCGACCAGATAGGTACTCCGCAGTATGACCCAGAGGCCGGCCCAGAAGGGGGAGGGGGTCCACATCTGACTTGAAGGGCCGGATGGGATACCAGCCAATCAATGTATTACTACTTCAACTTCATCTCATCCCTTTCCGGCAACTCCTGGGTCCAATCCCGGCCGCCACCAGCAGCGTGGCTGGATACTCCGTGGTCTAGGACCGTGGCACGTCCCCAGTGGGCCCCCGATCCTTTTCTCTTCTGGCTCTACTCCGTAGATACTCTCGGTATTTCCGAGTTTCGTCTCTCTTTCCAAGTCACCACTGCAGGCTACGGGGTTTGGTCTCCAACGCTTCATACGAGTAAAATGACCACGGTACTAGGTACTAGTGAGGATATGCTAATGGTCGAAATTTGAGGACATTGCAATTTTACATAGAACTTAGTGCGGATGATCCTACTATGTCCCAAGTGCAATCAATGGTTTAGCTCAGAACCAATAATGACAGCTACTGACTAGCTAGCTATCTACGGACCTACTATTAGTACCTACAGGAGCCTTGCTTATTCCGTACTGTGTCGCTCCTATAGTAAGGAATTTGTACTTTGTACTCCGTATAGTAGCAGCTCTGTTCAAGTGGGGATCATGACTCGCGAGTTGGCCCGTTTGTTTCCAGAGCCGTAAGGAACATTCGAGCAATTCTAGTTGTAGGTAGGTAATCTACATGGGTACGGAGTAGATTCTTCTGGAAGGCTCCAGGTGAGCGTTTTGATCATTCCAGATCAGTGCGTCGTCACCTACCTGCTAGGTAGTAAGGTACCTAGTACTCCGTACCAGGCTGGTAACTTACTCTCTCTATTCCGTACTGACTACTTATGTACCCTGTACCTTAACACTACTAGTCAAGCAAGGTGCATCCTGCTTAGGAGGTAAGATAAAATGTGTACAGTTAGCAAGGTAACGGAAATATAATACTCATCAACAGTTTCTACCTCCTAGTACTCCGTAGACAGGTACTGTACCTTAAACCTAAAAGATGTGGATCCTGAATTGCAGGTAAAGATGCCTAAGGGACCAAGCTGCCTGATCAACTGGAGATAGGTCGCCGACAGACGAAGGAATACTGCGGTATACTATACTTGCCTGTACCTGAGGTAGTGTCTAGGTAAGTAGTAGGTACCTTTATACTATATACTATAGTACATATAGCTTCTCCCTTGGAATGATCCCATCCCTGTCAAACATACACCCGGCATCATCATTATCATCATCATCATCATCATCATACAGAATTCCAGTGCCTCAAGCAAGTCTATCTACCTCTGAGTTATAGATAAGGTGTGAATTGTACGAAGAATCAAAGCCAGGGAGGAGCCTTGACTGGTAAATCTACAGTTACCTGCGACTGTATCACATAGATACCTACTACCCTACCCATTACCTAAAATATAGTAGTACCACCTGTAGGCTGTACGCCTCCCGTACGGTGTATAGATAGATGCATGCTCCGGCCAGGAACTAGATACTAGGGAACCCACCGCAGATTATTGGCCTCCCCTGATCGACTTTTTGAAGATGCTAGAAGTGTCAGCAGCATGGTCTGCGTCCACTGAGCAGATTCGGAAGCTTCATCCGTCTCGACTATCCGACTTCGTTGATCGAGCTCCTACTGTAGTATTACTGTGTAGGTAAGTCCGTTAGGACAAAGTATGGCAAGTAGTGCAATAGATACTAGATGCGGCCATGGGGATCTAGCTAAAGAAGTACGGAATACACCACCACATATGGCATGATCAATCCATCCCATCACCAGCAAAAAGGAAAGTAGATCAAAATTTGCCACCGAGGAGAGAAACCTTGGGTGGAACAGCTCCATCGTAGTGGGACTTACTGTTGTAACTAGCCTAGTGGGAGTGGGAGTGGGCGTGCGCGCGTAAGTATGTATGCGGGAGGTGTGGGTGTATACAACAAGTACATCCGGAGATCATCTCTACAACAATCAATTGCACGGGGGGCTGGATAACACACCGCACCAAGGCGAACAATCCTCCCTTTTTTTTTTCTCTCTCTCTCTCTCTTTCTCTTTTGTTTTCAATTTTTGATCATTTATTTTCTCTGCTTCTTTTCTTCCACCTCTCCTCTCTAGCGCCTAGAGGGAGGGATCCATCTATTTCCTACGCCGTCTCTGCGTTTCCATCGCCACGCCGAGCCCGGCCTGTGACGTCATCGGCCGAGGCCCTCGCTACCTCCCGGGGATGATCATATCGCATCCATTCATCCCCACCTCCCCTTCTGTTATTCTATCCGAATTGATGCAACGTACTATGTACGTACCACGTACATGCTGTTGATCAATTACAGCAGTGTGTGCTATATAAAATCATGGGCAGAAGCGCAGATCCATTCAGTCGTGCATCGCCAACCAATTGGCGTCAGAAGAGGTGGGTGGGCTGGGCTGGCTGGCTGGCTTCTTCCTTCTTCTCACGGAGGTGGGTGAGAGACAGTAGTACCGTCCACATCGATCGATCCGATCAGTGATTGCATCATCGCTTGAGTACTGTCATATATCACAGCACGGTAACAATATAGGCACGCGGTATTATTATCATACACTGCCACCGTCTATGGATCCTGAGAGCTCCTGTAATACTCGAGCGCAACGCCGACTCTGCCACTAGCATGGGTTGTACATCCCTTACTTACCTCGTCCTAACTACTAACACACAGTAGCAATGCATCACGCAGCAAGTCATAGGCTGGTCTCCACAACTTGGAGACACAATCTCGCTAGCTTGTCCCCTTTATGGTAGAGAGCACTGCTGTGGCTTGGGTAGAGCCACTTCAATCACCCAATGGGGCTGCGATACTTGTCCAATCCACATGAGGAGACGGGTGGTGGCACCTCGAGATGATACCCAGTTTTGCCAACGTCGTGCGGCGCTTATCGACTCCGTCGCAGCGCGTGCCTTTGGCCCACCGGCTCTCGCCCCCCAAATGTCGCAGTCACACACCAAAGGATAGGACATCCACTTCCCGTGGCAAAGAGCGCTGCAGAGGCTGTGCTAGCTAATGTAGGCCATTGCTACACAGGAGCATCATCGGGCGAAGATCTTCATGGCATAACCAGTTCCTAGCAAGGCTTGTTCCTAGCTATCATAGCAAGTGTCTATGACTGCGTACGTACGGGATTCTTTTACCTGCGTTTCATTTGGCCTGCAAGCGGAATACGCCCCAATGACCTGTCGCGTCTGTCCTTCTTACATCGATAGTGTGGAGCTAAGGCTCCCAAATATTTTTTTCAAGGGGCGAGGTCTATCAGTTGTGCCTGGAACTGACAAGGCTGCCCTGGTGTGTGAAACCCCAGCAATCTAGTGCGGTGGTACGATCCTTGCTGCCTCACAACTAATGTTTGGCTTACACAATGATCATATATAATTTTATTTGACCAGGACGAGTCCTCTGCCGCACGGAACTCTATCTTCTAGGTAAGTGACGAATTAAGACATAGACATGCGCTGCCGTAACATTAGCTTCAAGATGCAGATTGAACATCAGAAACCTAACCGGAACGAACAGGTGCGGATAACATCGTGAACCGGGGGGGGGGGGGGGGGGGGGAGAAAGAACATATGGAAAGAGTCAATGGGGAATATTTGAAGGCAGGAGAAAAAGTAGAACAAGACGGGTGCCTACCACACAATAGATAGGAATGATATTGACAATGAATACAAGATGATAAGTGAAATGAGAAGTAAGCATGAGCATACTCAACGTCGGCAAAAGCAAGATGTTCTCCTGACAGATACGCCGACTGTAGAGACTCAAACTCGAGTCTCAACATCATATCATATCTGGTTGAGCTTCGTTATAATTATAAATTAAGAAGGAACCCACTCAAACGCCTAGAACCAGGAGTAGATATGAACGGGAAAACAAGACCAGTCCGACCATAATCCACTCGCTAGCGATCAATCCCTAACGAGGCTACCTTACCAGCGAATCTGGCGCCGGCGCTGCCCCTTTTGTGCAATTTCTCACGCTCCTTGCTATCTAAGGAGCTCGGTGCCTGCGACGGCAGGGCGTTGGTATCGTTACCTGTACCGCGAATTGCGGGCAGCGAGCCAAACGATTCGGCTGCAGCTCTCCCGGGCGCCGGGAGAGCAGTAGGGGGTGTCCCGAAGGCGGACACTCTTGCAGTTCTCTGGCTTAAATACAGCTGAGCTGACGATGAGAGAGGAATCGGCGGGGGTTGCAAAGGAATTTCGGCTCCATTTTGGACGAGAAGTTCCGCAATCGGAAAGGGAATGGCTTTGACAGGAGGGGTTCCAGGAGGCCTAGCTGATACACTAGAAGTCGAACCAGGAGATGCGGGATCTGCTGCGGCAAGAGCGAGGAAGACCGCATGAGTGTCACGAGAGCGATCAGTAACGTTTACATTGGCACGAAGTGCAATGCCGTAGAGGACGCCCTGGATGTCGTTCTTTTTGATTGCAGCAAGTAGTGTTTCATCTGAAGTCGCGAACCGTGACAACGGGGAAGGTAGTTGTTGGACGTACGCTCGTTCGCTGTATTTTGCGGTAATGAACTTCAGTCTTTGGTCACGGGTCGACATTGCTGTTGGTTTCAGAGCTTGATCAAGTGTCGCCTCCCACACCATGTTGCTGACACGGTTACCGATTTGTAAAAGAATTTCAACAATATCATTCGAGAAAGAGTTGACGTCCAGTGTGAGCGAGCGAATTTTGGAAATATGCGTTCCAAGCGATCGGTGGATTCCACTGCACTCAATGCAAAGTACAATCCCCAGATTGATAGAGACCCATTCGACCTTGGATGTAGACCCACAGTCCGCGCACCAGTTGTTGCCTTGGTCCGCATCCCGAATAGTTTGGAGTAGCTTAGAGGGATTCTCTTCAAAACCATGGCCGTCGCCGCGGACATAGCTCGGCCTTGCACCTACTGTGGTACGACGGGTAACACTGTTATTAGACGCCGTCGAATAGGAGTGTTGACCAGAATACGAAGAGCTCTTTCCAGTTAGCACAGAGCCAATATCGCGACCAATAGATGTACTATCATTGTCAGATGAAACTGGAGGCGGGGACATGCCGCGACCCTCGACAGCACTCTGCAAAGCATTATTAATGGCTCGGATCCAGTTGGCCATGTCTTCTTCCGAAGTTGCTTGATAGATACGCTTGTACTGCGGTGTGATGACCTCAAAGCAAAAGCGGCGTTCCGCGTTCCGAGCCTCTCGCACTGAAGCCATCCGGAGGTCGATTGGATCCATATGCAAGTCAAGCTTCTGTTTCCAGTTACTATACTCTGAAAGCTTCCCCTGATCCAACACAATCCAAAACCTATGAAAATGAAAGAGAATCAGCTGAGCAGTCGCAGGAATAAGGAGATATACTTACTTATGCCAAGCCTGCTTGTTAATACCCTTGGGATCAATATGTGACCCCGGCCGTGATAATGCCCAGAGCAGGCCTTCCTTTCGTTGCTGGCCTGCGGCATCATCAGCAAATGAAGCGCTCGGGAGTCTGAGCTCCAGCATAGTCTTCTAGGCGCTCACGTACCAGTGGAACCCATGGTTGAAACAAGCATTGAGGGCCCAGCTGAAGGGTTAGCAGAGCTGGCTTGCGGCAAGATTGAGCTACTATTGCTGATAACGCCTCGCAATTGAGATCCTGTGCTATCTGCACGCCCTAGCTCTGTCTCTCTCTCTGACTTCAAGTTACCACCACCATTCCCGGGAAGAGCGGACGACGGCCCTGCTTGGATCACAGAATCGGGTTCAATAAATATGTTACTGCTCTTTTCCAACGCTCTTCGCTTTTCTTCCCTCTCCGTTCTCTGAAATTGAAATTCTTTGTCGGCTTGGTTGACCTCATGGATCAGAGCATCAAGTTGGGGGACCATGTTATCAACTTTTTTGGCAGCTGCAAGAAAGCTCTTGGCTTGGGTATCCGCATATTTGGTGAGATGAGAAAGAACCTCTTGCTCTTTACGGCCGCCATGGAGATCTTGCATGAAGGATGAGTAATCGAAGCGCTTCAGCTCGAAATTGCGTCGTTTTGCCTGATATTTGGAGTCACTTTCCACGCGCTTCTTTTCCTTTAAAGAATCCTGGCGTTGACCGAGGTAGCGGCTAACATAAGCGTAATAGTCTCTGCTCTCTTCCTCGAACTCCTTTTTCTTAGCCTCAGCTTGTTTAATGTCATTGTTATAGAGTTTTATCAGTGGTTCAATGACAAGTTTTTGGAGCTGGATAGTGTTCAGCCGTTCATAATTTAGTATTTGCCGCGCCGTGTTCTCAAAGTAATGATCAAGGGCAGGTTGTATTGCGTTTGCGTTAGAAGTTGAGGCTTCATTTAGCGCAGAGAGAAATCCTTCTACGGCGTCATTACATGCCGTCTGCGCTTGCTGGGCTGCCTCTGCCTTCTTGAGGACCTTTTTAATCTTGGCACGCATGTTTCCTGTCTTTTGTTCCAGAGCTTTCATTGTGGCCCGAAACAGCGGACCATCTTCAACCACGCTCATGTCGTCGCCCGGACGCGAATGAGGTAGGTCAACCTTGACAGGAGGTACAGCGGTATGGGTTGGTGGGGCGGCTGTGTCGCCGGCTTCTGGGGGTGTTCCGGGAATAACCTGGGTATTAGAGGCTGCGTCCGCATCGCTAGAATGGGAAAGAATTGATTGCGAGGACGGAATGCGATTGCGAAAAGGGACGTTAATTTCCAGGTTTGGCGACGAAACCTGTGGGCTTGGGAGCGAGCGTACAGTGTTCTGTACCCAGAATGAAAAGTGGGCAAGTGTATTCAACCGATTAGCTCTTTGATCGTAATCCAAGAAGCTGCAGCTGTTTCTCCAACCACCACCTCTATCTTCCACTACTTTGGGAGGCTTCCATTTCCACGACCAGTCGAATTGAATTGACGGGCTGCCCGCAGTGGAGTAGTCTCCTACCAACTGTACATTGGAATTGTTCTGTAGATTAGGGTTGGCATGAAATTCTCTAGTGATCAGATTGTCCAAGTCCCGGGAATTTGGCGCATGTGCGAACGTGAGGCCCGTAAGTATAGTGTCAGCCACTTCGGGTAAAGAAGTTGAGACACCATTAACGGTCGAATTGGCAAAAGTTCCAGTTTGTGTTTGTCGCAGTATGAAGTTGAAGTGGAAATTCAACTCGTCTTCGTTGTTCAAGCGCAAGAGGAACGTAGGTACTGGAGCAGACGGGGAGAGGTCGGGATCCTAATTGACGACAAGGATAGTGATCAGTCACCGAAAAATGCCCTTAAGTCCAATGCCCTCCTTCTCTCTCGCCTTATGCCCGGGGACTTACCTGTATATATTCTATTGGATTTTCGTCGCCAGTATCACGCTTGGCAGCATATCTTGTAGCGGGAAATGAGTTTGGGACCAGATTTAATAGCACGCGCCGTCGAGAGTTGGTTACTGTCACGGAAGCGATTGTAACTAGTAAAGACGCGATCGATCAATATCACCAGTAAACGAACGTGGGGCGTGTAAAGGGGAAAGAGAGCCAGGGACCAGGGGCAAAAGAAACTAGACATAGAATTCAAGGGCACATGTTTGGCACCGTCGCCAGATTGAGAAACTTACACCTTGTCTGATCTTTGAAGTACAAGTCCCCGGTATCATCAAGACGACTTGCTACATTGCCCATTGTGAAATTGCTGGAGCTAACTACCGAACTTGCATCCAAGAGAGGCCGGAGAAGTGACCGGGGCGGGTGAAGGTAACCATCGACAGTCAGCGGGCCCGCAGCAGGATGGAAGGCCGATTCGAAGTCAATTCCAGTAAACGCGTCAACATCCAGCTCACTGTCCGACCGTCAGGGAAGCAGCGCCGACTTGCTTGCAGTGAGCAGGTAAGAACACCAACTAAGTAGGGTGAGACAACCAGGTGGTCGCGGGCGGAAATCAGGAAGGACAAGAAGCGGGGGCAGGAACGGTGAGGTGAGTGATTTAGTCCGGGTCGATGTCGAGGAAGGAGGTTCGGATGGGGTGGCAGAGAGAGGTTGACAGAAGCAAGAAGAGAGAGAGGTGGGGAGAGGGGAATTTGGGGGGGTGGAGGTATGTATGAAGATGAGAAAGAAGGAGAGTGAGAGAGAGGGAGGGAGAGAAGGGGAGAGGGGGAGGGGAGGAGGGGGGGAGGCGCGGACAGAGAGAGAGGGGAGGAATAAGAATATTTGTGGATTAGTAGTTGGATTGAGATAGATGATTAGGAGGATGGTGGTGGTGGTGTGTAGGAGTGAGCACCACTAGAATAACTGCCTGCCTACAGTAGTTAGTGTAGTAGTTAGTACAGAGCAGTACAGAGCAGTACTACTGGGTAATAAAATAGGTCGAGATGCCTGCCTACCTGGGTTTCATTGTGGTATGTACGGAGGAAGGAAGTACCTCGCAGTCGCAGGACCCTACAGATTACTACAGTAAGAGAGGTACTTATCCGCAGAACTAATCTCGAGTACCAGGTACCTCTTACCTACTAAGGCCGTAAGCCTGTAAGACTGAAACAAACGAGCCGGGGCTGAAAATGGGGCTAAGGCCAAAATAGGAATTACCTTTAGTTATGGATACCCAGTGCTTAGGTAGGTAGGGTGTAGGTACGGAGTAGATACCTGGTAGTACACCAAGCCAGACACGCAATTTGCGTACCTCTGATGTACCTGTCTAGATAAACATAATACATAAGATCGATCATGCTAGGCTCGTGTTCCTTCCCTGGATCTGTCTACTACTAGTAGGTAACAACGGGCTTACTGATGCATGCACATGGTATTACAAAGTACTACGTACCACTCCGGTAGTTGCGTAGGCATGGCTCGAGATGAATCGTGATTGATATATATTTTATTTCCATCCCTGACCCAACAGCCCAATACCAGACCATCATTATCCCTATCTAACTATGATATTCGTCAATGCAGAGCCTATGGCACTCTACTGGTGCCTAGTAATATCAGGTGATACGGTGTAATACTAACATTAATAAATACTAGTAGGCACATACTCATACGATGGCTGGCACTCAGGTCATCCATCATTCTTCTCATGCGGCATGCGCGTCAGACTGTGGTGGAGCTATTCCTCGTTCTGCTACTCCGTAGCAACGGGGCCGAGTCTATGAACCGTGGGGTCTATCTACGCCGCGGCCCCCAAAACTCCTTCACGCGTTTGAGAGGTAATGAATGCCCTTGGATATTCATATCTCCTGTTACTTCTTCCATATTCGCACAAAGTCCTGGGCTGGTAATAGCAATAGTAGGCGAGAAGTACCAGGAGCGCCAAGCTGATAGGCAGGTAGGTGGTCATAAGCATTAATCATAATATATAAAGAACAGCCTGTGCGCTTCCGAGGTCCACAGCAGACGAAGGAAATACTTATCTACAATAGCTTGTGCTGCTTACTTACCAAACGTTATTGTATCGAATCATCAGCAACAATGTCTAAGACCAGACCAGAGAAACAAAAGGGGGCTCAAGAAGTGTGTGATACCATGCCCGCCCGTAAACTCATGGTGCGCGACTCCCCGAGGGAGCCCGTTTGTACCAAATCCCTAGGTGACTGTAGGCAGCCCATTAATTAAGAACCTGTTGACTTAATGCATGGTATAGTAGACTATGTTGTCGGCATATGGCGAGCATAAAGGCTGGTTAATCTCGGCCATCAAAGAGTAGATGTCCGTTCATCCACACCATATTCTCCAGTAGCCCTCGATGTTCCCGAATCACCAGCGGATACGGCCCTCTGTGACCCTAAAGGCCTTTCAGGCTCATTAGGGCTGCCATGATTGTCTGCCTGTGCCCATCTCATCATTTGACTCTTCACATCACGCATGCCATATACCTTTTGCGCAAAATCGCCTCGTTTCTTGTGGCGTGCGCCACTGCGCTCATCCAGCTCCTCCTGGTCTGAACTGGATATAGAAGAAAGGGACGAGCTGTTGCTTCGCTGGAGGAATATCATCTGATTGCCTTCACTCTTTTTGAACTCCCTTTGTTCATTTTTCAAAGCTTCCATCTGGGCTGCATCTTCCTTGCAATCGAGCGTGGTAACGTGAAGACCAGAGAGGTTTGATGAGATGAACCGCTTCAAAATGGGAAGACACTGGCTGTTTGGGCGATATGTTCCGCTGTCATTGTCGATGAAGAGCTCATAATCGGCTGGATCAGTTGACATCTCCGAGTCTTCCAGTAGCTCGTCGCCGGAGTAACTACCTCCCGAATGATGTGTAGTTTCCGAGTACCGATGACGGCGATGCTTCCGACGCAAGAAAAACTCACCAGAATATGCGATATATATCGATACATCGCTGTGCATAGTGTGCTTACTGAGTAAATCGATTCCGAATTCCTTTCCCGTCTCTGTAAAGCGAAATTGCCCATCCAGCGTGATAACATATGTGAAAATTCTCCCGCCCTGTGCGTAATGAACGAAGTCAAGAAACTTCTGTGTGAGTGCAATGCACGGCGAGGAAAATTGACCATTCAGCGTTGTCTTGTCGAAGTTGTAGATACGCTCATGTTGATGATGTAGCGCCCGGTTGAGTATCCTCCCACGAAGGCTGTGTGATGTGAACATCCCGGCCACAAATGGTTTAAACTCGACATAACGATGATAGAGCTCAGTGGGTACAGGGCCTTTGAGCTGGATCTGAATTGCCTGGAAGCTGCACACTAGTGTAAGCGTGCTGCCTTTGCCAATGATTTCAGACAGGGCAACAGAAAAACGTACTTGTAGCGACTTATTGTTTTCTTCTTACCATGTCGGCTCTGGACCTCATCTTTAGTCCCCGCTATCCTTCCAATTAGAGGAGAGAAATGCTTGAACCAATAGTTTGGCCCAACAGTGTACATATGAGCTCCTTCATCACCTGGTGTTTTCCCCAAGCATTCTACGCTGATGACTAGATGTGACCCGACATCTAGGCGCCGCGAGGCCAGCGCAGCGATGTTTCCGAATAAATAGACGCGTTTGCTACCCATGCGCTTCTTGACGCGAAATGACTGCTCCTTGATTCCGGGCCAATGGTCACGGACCGCATCCACTTCGACGTAGGCATTCCCGAGCTTGTCATCGTGATCGGCAGCGTCTTCGTCATAAACTTGACATTTTAATTGAAAACCGGAAGCAGGGACATTGGCGACTATCCACTCACTCTCCCATGTTGGATCCCGGTTTTTGCGCACAGTTGGGGTCCGGAAGGAAAGAAGAGGGTCCTGCTTGTGGCGTTGAGGCAAGTCGACAATTAACTGGGCCAACACATATGGGTCAGAAGAAAAACTGCCGAAGTCTGCGCAAGGAAGATTGACGCCACGGTGAAAGGTGAACTTGAGAGTGTAGCCTGGCGGCGCGTGGGGATAAGGCGTGCTATCGAAGCCTCCGGCGGGCTCTGATTGGGACGACTCATCACCATTCATAGCAGCCTTCATGGCGGCTGCACGACCCTGCATGTGCTCGGATTTGTCGAAAAATTTCGGTCCATACTTGTCGACGGGATACCGTCGCCGTGTCCGTGGCTGTGTTTCTTCCATTATTGGCGGCGGCGGCGGTCGCGATCACTTAGATGCTATTGTTGCTGCCTGCGCAAAGTTGCGATCAGCACGCAGATGCGGGACAGTGCAGGTGGAGCAAAAATTGATTGATCACACTGCATGGCAATGCTACGTACTGTAGAACGAAGTCGGCAGATAACTACCTATGCAGTAGTAGAGTAGTACCAGGGAGGTCAAGCGGAGAATGGGCGATCAACTGAAACCCCCGGATTCGAGTGTGAGTAATAAAATCTTTAACCGTTGAACCGCGGGGTGGGACCTACCTACCTAGTAGTCTTCAAGAAGACTGAAGTCTCGGCTATGACAACGATGGATCGCGCGCAGGGACCCAGACGCACAGCAATCTGTAAAGGGCAGCCAGTGATACTGGTAAAACTACTTTAGTATCTACCGAAAGTAGTGGTAGTAGTATAGGGCTGGTTGACGGAGGGAGGAACTTGAATAGTGTTCGGAATAGAAGGAACAGGGGAAGTGGATTGTTTCCCCCCCTAATTCCAAAAGTGCCGCGGCTGTGACATCATGGCATACGTACTATACAACGCTAACCTGAACTTTGTGCCTACCAGGTACCCTATACACTTCAAAGAGCATATCTAGAGCCTCTTACCCCGTACCGAGGACTGCTACACTAGAAGGCGACAGTTTGTTTGGTTGGCTCCCAAAAGTGATTTAGCTGACCAACGTATGTCGAATCTTGGCCATTCTATTATCTCCGCCCGTGGCTTCGCTATCCACCATTTAGATGCTACCTGCGGAAGCCATCAAACGGCCTTTTTCTAGCAAGTTGCAGGATGGTATCTGCAGTTGAATCCCCCTTCCTCGCCCTCCTCCCCCTCCTCCCCCTCCTCTCCCGCCATCCCTTAATCGTCCCATCAAGATCCCCTGAACAAGAACTGCATATCTTCCGGGGTGAGCTTCTCTAGAGCTTCTCCTTGATCCTTGTTGATGGTCCCATTGATCATGTTGGCCTTCTTCTCTTGCAACATCACAATGCGAGACTCCACCGAATCCTCAATGCAGAGTCGGGTAATAACGCAGGGCCGACGTTGGCCGATTCGATGGCATCGATCAGCACTTTGCCATTCAGCAGCCGGGTTCCACCATCTAAGCGACAGAGAGATCAGCAAGGGCTCACAAAATTCGTTAAGCTGTTGGTCCAGGGCACTTACGGGTCAACTATGAAAACCCTCGATGCCTCTGTTAGGTTCAAAGCCACACCACCGGCTTTGAGAGACACCAAAAAGACTTCAACATCCACATTGTTCATGAAATATTCGATGGACTTTTGACGCTGCGCGGGCGTCATTGTGCCATCTAGCATGACGGTGTTGAAACCAGCCCGACGCAGACGCCATTCCACAAGCTGCAACATTGAAGTGAACTGAGAGAAAACAATAGACTTCAGCGTTTGCTTTTTGCTTCTCAGTTTGTATAGTTCATAAATGAGCATCTCGATCTTTGTCGATGATGTCCATTCCTCCATTCGGATCCGATTGATTATGGAATTTTTCTTGATGTGTTCTTCCTCTTGCTCGATATCGGGCTGTTCGAAATCTATCGACAGAGGAATATGACACCGAGGGCAATCGATAATGGAGTTTGCATCAAACGACTGAACATAGTCCTTGGCACACCTGCGGCAAAACTCATGGTGGCAACGGGAGCGAATTGCTTCTTCTGCAGGTTCGTCACAGATGCTGCAGACAAGAACATTTTGCCCAGTCTCTGCGTGCTTCTTCAAAATAAGATCTGGGTGATTTGCCACTTGGCGCATTTGCATGATAAGCCCGAAGATATTAGCATAATTGTTCAGCATGACGCCGCGGCTCACGTAGGTATCAAATTGCCTCGAAGAGTTAGTCATGATACTCCGAGAGAAATCCCGCTCGATCTCCCCGAAGAACTCATTTTTAAGAATCACACTAAAGTAATGTCAGCATAGCCTGAAAAGCTCTACAATACATAGTTACGCACCGTTTTGGTGGGAGCTCCATCGAAGCTGTATGGTCTCGCTTTACTCGCCTGAGCATGATTCTATCAGTTATGAGGCGCAACTTTGACAGTGCCTCCTTTCGGGCATGAGCATTATCCCTCTCGGTGACTTTCAAGTGTTAGAATAGACCCAAGATAATATTTGTGACAGAACTTACTGGGATTCAATATTTCCTGGTTGAAGACTGAGACGTGGCTGAATCCACTGTATCCGGAGTTAGTATTTCAGGGTAAAACCAGGATAGATGTGACGGATAAATCTTGTACCTATGTCTGCATTCAGTGCATCGTTTCTCTGCGTCTTGGGACCAATGCAGCTGCTGGCATTTGCACTGTTTGCAGAAGTAACAGGCAAAAGGACGGACTTCCAGGAAGCGAAGAAGGGAAAAAAACTCTCCAATCCGGTTCTGAACCGGTGTACCAGAGAGACACCATTTATAGTTAGCTTTCAGGGCAAAGCATGCACGGGCAACGCTAGTTGTACGTTGCTAGGCGTATATGTTAGTAGACTGCTAAATGGACCTGAGAAAAGTTGGAGTAAAAAAGAGGGATTACCTTAATGCTATGCGCCTCGTCCAGGATCAATCGATGAAACTGAATTGAGTGGATAACACCTTCCTGAGGTCAGATCTATTCCTATATTGAGCAAGGGTTGGATTACTCACTGTCTTCCTTCACAATCCCATCACTACGATTCCACCCCTTCCATTCTTTGCGATGTATGGATTCAAGGCCAGAATCTATAACAATCGTCAGCTCTCAATATTTGGACTCCCATGATTATGTACTCACAAGATATCATTATCACATCATAAGCCTGAAGATCTTCCCTTGAGAGTGTTTTGACCCTGGGGTTTGAATTATGATGGACAAGAACCTTTAACTGACCGCTTGTGTATTCCTAATTAAGAAGGTCAATGGCACTGTAGCCTCACAAAAAAAAAACAACAACAACAACAACCAACCTTGATCTCCGATTGCCATTGCATTAGTGCAACTGGGGGAACAACAACAAGGGACGGCCTGTGAACAGGGTAATCAGACATGAGCAGTGAGACTGCTTGGATGGTTTTGCCCATGCCCATCTCGTCGCCCAACAATCCTCCTTTGTACTGTGTCTTTTCTTGTTGCATCATCCAGTTCAGACCTTCAAGCTGGAATGGCTTGAGCGTTCTTGATATCCCCGAGGGCTGTTCTGCCATTACCGGTTGGACAGGAGGCGTATTTCTCAAATCATCCCACATTTTTGTAATGTATGGATGTTGCTTTTCGAGTTTTCTTCTTTCTCTCAAGGCCTAGATTCTTGGTTGGAAAATGCAAGATGTTATTCTGACAGACTAACGTACCCGATTGCTCATCCCGATCTCATCTGGCACTGGGTGAACGACTGTAGTTGCTCTGCGTGAAATTCTTGAATTCCCAGCACGGGCTCTAGAATTTTGAACCATCCTTACGGTTGGAATATTCTGTCGTATTAAAGGTTTATCTTCTTCACTCGAGGAACTCGTAGAATTGGTGAATTTAGCGTCGCTTTCATACTCGTCATCTAGACCACCTTCAAGTACATCGTGAGGGGCTTGATAAAGGGCGGTACTCTTGTTCGCTGATCGAAGAGACCTTCGGACTCGGCGCTGTGGTGCCATTAATTGGGGAAGCCTTTGCTCACTTTCATCTTCATCTGTATCGTAATCAGATTCAAGTGCAGCCAAATCGCGCTTAAGACCAATGGAGTCCTCTGCTGCTGCGACAGAAGCATGACTCAAAGCTTTTCGTAGTTTAAAGGGTGGTTCTTCGTACTCTTGGGCTTGTAGAGCTCGGGCCAAAGCTGCGTCGGAGTCCTCGGGAGTACCAAAGCGTGCTGACAGTGCCGCAGACGATCTCTTGAGTGGTCGTGTTGCGTACAAAGACATGGTGCTTGATCGTAGTTCCCGGGCTCGCACGGAAGCATTGATTCTTTTGCTCGGCCTGCTTACATCTGATTCGACGGGAGTAACAGCAATGCTGGTTCCCGGAGTACTGTAAGCATGAGTCTCATCTGCTAATTCATCTTCGGCTGGGACGGACGATGCCGAAGGAGAAGAGGGCGGAGGCTTCTTCACAGGGATTGCAACTTCGAGGGTCGTCCCACGGGGACACCCAGCCTTGCCCGTTGGTCTCAAATCTCTACCAACCCCCGCATCCCCTTGAGTATTATCCAGGTTCTTGACGGAAGATGTCAACGATGTTCGAGCCAATCTCGCAGAGGTTCGTCTGGGCAGAGACGTGGTGATATCTAGCAATCGTCCAAATGTCAGTTAATGCCGATGTATCTTCATTTCGGCCGCAGCCTGCGTTTATGTGATTTCCCCCGTGCCTGCGTCTCAGGCCCTTCCATCCGGGACAGATTTGAGGTGGCAGAGAAGGGGGGGGGATTATGGAGAACTCTCACCAGTGAGCGGGGGGTTCCCCGGGTTTGAAAATGTTGGTTTTCTCCCCATTTTAGTTGAAAGGCAGAACAAGAATAAATCAATGAGATTAATCCAGCCCTTTCCCGAGTATCACAAGTTGAAAAGCTGAAGGGTTTCGTGGCAAGTTGAACCTGATACAGTTGATGCAGCGCCACCCGAAGGTACCTTGCTTTGCCGCGGGATGACTATGGCGTAAGTACGGTAGGATGACGGAAGTTTGGGAGAAAGAAAAAAAAATCGCCTCCCCTTTTTCCTGGAAGGATTCGCTGTTCTAACTCATGCTCCCATCCGGGCAGAGTTGGCCACCCGACCGTCTTCCTTCCCAATCCAACTGTCTACTCCGTACCCCGAACGCCGTACACGAGGCGATAAGCCACCCGTCGAGTCTCGCGTTAAGTGGAACGCGAAATCACCACGGGTTCCTGTGACCAGCAAGTATCGCCACCTTCATCAGACCTCCCAATAACCCCCCTCCCCTAGAGTCCACTTCATCTACCCTTCTACTAGGCTTCACTTTGATCAAATGTATGTGCCTCATATGCGATAGAATATGTGCGAATCTGTCACTCACAACCGAAAACAGGGCGAACAGAAGACAGACGAGGAATCAAATCAGGGGCCCGTATGTACTCTGACTAAGTACTTCCAAGGCTCACCCTCCTGTCTTTGGTAACTAACGTTGCTCCCAGACACTCTGCCCTTACGGACTTTCTGGCTGTAAGTAGCCCTTTTCATGCGTCGGCTCTGTTCGCTTGCCGTCCATTCGCTTTTTGTCGTCCCAAAGTGGCTATCTTGGGAACCCAGCTGACTAACTTGTTCTTAGTCCAACAACATCTCTGCCGCTCAGATCCATCAAGACCATCAACGGCGCCTGCAAGAAGCCGAGCGTCAGGCTGCCGTAGAAGAGGAAGGAGATGTAACTGTGGGACATGACGAGCATCATCATGTTGGTGAGTTGCCGGAAGAGAGGAAGAAGCGCAAGCGAAAGGAGGCAGTCGCTCTTGCGAACATCAAGCAAAGCAAGGAATTTGCTCGTCGTAAAGCTCGGCGGACTGGTGAGTCTGACGATGACGACGAAGCCATTGCCCGAGAAATGATGCATGAGAGATCTCGGCCGTTGCCAGGTCAACTTGAGAATTGTGAAGCTTGTGGTAAACGCTTCACAGTCACCTCCTACAGTAAAACTGGCTCCCAAGGGGCTCTTCTCTGTGCAAAGTGCTCAAAGGTGCTAGCAGATGATGAGAAAAAATTGAAAGCTAAAAAGCGCGGGGCAAGGAGTGGTCGACGTCAGAATCAAAGCAATTTGCTCGATGGGCTTATCCAGCAGGGTGCTTTAAGTTTGGCCGAGATGTGTACAAAGGTATGTACATAGGTTTCCACACATCAAAACAGATAGCTCTATTGACTTAATGGCTGCACCAGAGAGTCGCTGACAACATTAACGACATTGAAGAGTTCGGTGATCTGCCCTCGCAACTACTCCATCGCCTCAGCCAAATATTGTGCAAGAGGCGGGTTTTAACTCCAAGAACTCTTAATCTGTTTCTGCGCCCAGGTATAGATTCTATTGATATCTATGATGCAGCCAGTGGGTTCCCTATATGCCTTTTCATTCGCCCACACTCTTTTTCTTTCCAAATTCACTCCCTCCCATCTATGCTTTTTCATCCTCTTTATTACTCTGCCAGGATATTGTAAATGCTTATATTCTAACCGAAACCAGAGTTAGAAACAGATGACTTCGAAAAAATCTTCACTTTGATGCCTAACTTATCCTGCGTCAATATCAGGTTTGCTGGCCAGATGAAAGACAAGGTAATTGAAAGCATGTTAGGCCGTAATCTGAAAATCAAGCGTTTGCAGCTGGATGCTGCGAATTTAGTGTCAGACACGTATTGGCGACGGCTGTTCCAAAATTTAGGGGTTCAACTGGAAAGCCTCAAATTGTCCAACCTTGACTTCTCTCTGGATGATGAATCTGTGGAGGTGTTGTGCAGATGTTGTACAAACCTTCAGCGACTGAAATTGAAACAGTGCTGGAAAGCCGGCAATCATTCGCTCCGGGCTATTTCAAATCTATCGTCCTTGGAGCATCTATCTTTGAGCTTCGTTCAAGAGGTACATACTGAGATTCTTCTGGAAACAATTTCTAGGGTTAGCCCAAAGCTGCAAACCCTGTCATTGGAAGGTTTCTCAAATGCCAATGACCGTCTTCTGGAGGTTGTTCATGACAACTGCCTCACTCTGAAGAAGCTACGATTCTCTCACAATGCTGCGTGTTCTGATGCAGGCTTCGTCAGACTATTCACAGACTGGGAGAACCCCCCATTGGAAATTGTGGATCTATCATCTATGCGAGACCTTGACAACACAAATCCAGAAAGTCCTACCGATGCAATTGGCCTTGCATCCCAAGGTCTTGTTGCTCTTATGAATCACTCGGGTTCCAGGGTACAGAAATTGAACATTTCATCCTGTCGCCACGTGTCACACTCGGCATTCGAGGAGGTATTCTCGCATGAAAAAACGTACCCTCACCTCAAGGAGCTGGATGTCTCGTTCCATACAGTTATCGATGATTATATTGTGGGCCGAATCTTTCGGTGTTGTCCTAAAATTCGCAAGCTGGTCGCTTTTGCTTGTTTTAACTTGCGAGATGTTCAAATCCCCATCGGGGTTGCTCTTATTGGGAGTCTGAAGGCTCAGGATCCCATGATTGTCCGAAGCGCTTATTGAATTTGCGAGCGGCAAAAAAATTGCAAAGTTGCCTTAACCCACGTGTGGTATGAATGATGACGGGAAACCCCTACTTTGTGGCCTAATTTCAAGCGCCATGTGCTCCGTCGCTCATTAGGGCAACGTCTGCCTTCCATTATTTCCATGCGTTCCTTGGTTGGGGCACCCTGGCGAGAAACACAGGCTGTGTCTCTAATTTGCCTCGAAATTCCCCAGAACTAAGAACTTAGCTCGTGCGTTCCAAGTATAATCGAGATACCTAGTAATTGCCTACGGTAACGTACGAATTAAACTGGTGCCTTAAAGGCCTAGGTAGAGATTGTACCTATGTATGTATGAAGCCGGGAGATCTACCGCGGACCAGCCTCGAACTACGGACTACTTTAGTATCAAGTATATGGCCGCATGGCCCCGCCTTAGATTGAGTCGGTATTGTAATTGTCCCACCAGAGCGTCAGTCAGCCGATGTCTACACAGTAAGTATTCCCTAGATAGATACTATCTACATGCGGCAATTCAGACAAAGGCATGATAGTCATATATACCTGGTAGTTAAAGACCGGTAAAAGTAGCGGCGGATGGATGGATGGTGAGTCACTTGGCAAGCTGATTTAATATACGGAGTACACGTCTTCAGAATAATGGGCTGACAAGAGTTGGTATGGAAGGAGAGTTGGCACCCGCCATTCTGACAGGTTCACCGCAGTCAATAATAATAACAAGAATTACAATAGTACTCCGTGATTACGGAGTAGATAGCGGGCTGAGAAGGGGTTGCGGCTTTCAAGCCTCCTTTTTCTTCAAGACCCGACCGGGCGGGCGCGGTAAGAGGCGGGTTGGTTGGGGTTTCCATCCATCCCCCTTACATGACTACCAGATATTAGTTAGATAGATAGATATTCCCTAGTAACTAGCGGTAGTAATGGGCTTGTATGGAATGAATGGTGGAATGGTGGAATGCGCCTCTCTGATTTTCTTTTCTTTTCTTCTTTTTTTTTTTTTCATTCCTCTGAGCTGTTGCATGCTGTTCTTGTATCTACGACTGAGATAGGTTTAGTACTGCGTTTGCCCAAGCCGCCCATCCCAAGCCGCCCGCCCGAGACAGTTCCAGTTCCCACCAGCCTGAAGCCCTGGTAGGCCGGTCGAGGTCCATTACTATATTTGGCGTGGCTCGCCGCCGGACTTACCCTCCCAGGGGCTCCACCCTCCACATCCAGGGTCTGCTTCGGTGCTTGGGACTGGTAGACCGGCTGGTCTGGTGGGTGGACTATTTATCGCCCTAGTTTTCAGGTCTTGTTACTTTTAGTATCTAGTATTTATTATTATTATTTTTATTAGTTGGCTATTCTTACTCCGTACGTACGTACTACTATCATCATTCTGATTCAGTCCGTCCGTTCTTCTGATTATTTTTACTCCTGCGATTACTGTTACCTACCACCTTACTCTATCTACCTACTCCGTTTTTTCGTACTAGTAGTAGTACTAGGTACTCTAGTAGTAGTAATAACCGTATCCTCCTGCTTTCTTTCTGTCCACTGATCAGCGCCTCTTTCTCTTCTCTTCTTCCCCCCCTCTCTCTCTCTCTCCAAGCCCGGCCCCCTCCTCTCCCCCCCTCCCCCTTTTCCCCCCTGCGTCCTCTCCATCCTACCCACTCTTTTTACTGTCGCTCTGGTGCTTCTTCTGGTGATTTGCTCCGGTTCGTTCGTGCTGCCGCTGCCGCTGCTTCTTTTGGCGTTTTTGAAAAGGTTCGGGTTCGCCTTTGTCATCAAAACATTCCCCTCCATTCCGCGAGGGCGATTTCTTTTATTTACTTTTTAAACTCGATCGGAAGGAAGCTCATCGTCGCCTGCACCGCCCGAAATCCACTTCGAAGTGCGACCTTCCTAATCATATCCGTTACTAGTCTCCAAGCCCCGCTGATGCGATGGGAGTGTGAGGGTCCTGGTTGCTCTTGATTGATTATACGGTGTATCAGAAACCTTCTCTCTGGCCACCTCGCCTATTCTCATTTCTCACGATCTCCTCGCAAAACCCCTAGCCGACCCCGAAGCATCCTTATCCACCACAAGCCTTCATTGACACCACTTTTTCCGATTCATTAACGTCATTTCCTTTATTTCTTGGCCGAAAGCCCCGCCAGGATCGTGTTCCGTGCGGCTTGGACAGGCCCAATCGTTCCAAACATAACTCCCTCCACACATCGCGGAAGTCCTGTTTATGGGATACAAACAGCGCAGTTGAGAAGGGGTCGGGAATTTTGTAGCGTTTGGAAGCTGGCAGTAGCTGGCTCAATTTCCCTGGAAGTGGTTACCGGCGTCACTAGTGGTCGCCTCGGTTTCAGCCCAGATGCCAATCAAGCTTCCCAAAGGCTTCGCCCGACGAAAATCGTCTGGCAACGCTCTAGAGGAAGTGGAAAACCCTCCTCAGTCTTCATTCAGGGTTTTTGAGCGACCGTCTGGTGACAAAAAGTCCTTCGGTGATGGCAACCTAGTGTCGAAGAGGTTAAGCGAAGGCCAGCCTTTGTACTCACCATCGGAAGATGACAATAACATTTTCGCTGCGCATAAATCCCAGCCTCCCAAGAACCTGTACGAAATCCCCTCCCGCAAACATCATTATCGGATGCAGAGTGGCTGACTAGTTGATAATCGAAGAAATTTCTACGAAGGCACACCGTCTGCTCGAGTACGTCCGTCAACGCGCCAGTCAGCAGACGGGCCATCTCAACCTGAGCTTCAATCCCCACATACTCGAAACCTATACGATATACCGATACCTCCCCTGTCCGGTGCAATTCGTGCTGCTGGCCGTACCTTTTCCTTCGGTGGGAGATTCTCGAAGGCCCCTGTGCCGACTCCTCCACCCCAGCCGTCTACGCCTGGTCCCTCAAGAAGCAGAGCAATGACAACCAGCACGTCGAGTACTGCTACACCGCCAAGGCTCCCAGAAACCCAATTACAGATTGGTAAAATTGAAGACGACTTTCAAAACATGTTTGGCGATTTTGAGAATCGCCACGGTGTGCAGAAGGATTTATCCTCTCAAAATAAACCAGTAGATCCGGTAAGGACCGTTCGCTTTCCACTGCCCTTCCCCCATCTACAATCTAACCCACCACCCTACCGGATCATCATTGATCTAGTAAAGAACGGCGCAGGCCAGCGCTAAGATATTGCTATAGGGCTCACCTGGACCGTCAACCCGACCAGATGCCTTCACCCGCAAGGAAGACAAGATCTCGCGCCCGTCACCAATTGACACTGATCGATCAAGAGAAGTGGAACCTTCTCCGTATTCCTGGGACAGCCGGCACTCGGAAGAGGGTCTCCTCACCACGCTCGATTCGCCTATCGAACAACTAGGAGCTGGGCCAGACCACCGCGATACTAATACAATCTCTATTGGAGAACGGCGCAAGTCTTCAGCTCTGTCTAATGCAGTCCCTTTAGCGACAACTTCCCATCGCTCCTTGGCAAAACCTCGAACCGTAGCGGATGGAGGACTGAGAAGAAGTGGGATATACTCCAGCAAACGGGATTCTGAACCCATTGAAGACGAAGATGCTAAGCTGATCAGAGATTCTGTTTACTCGACCCAGAGAAGCTCTCAGGCAGTATTCGCGTCTGACCAAGAAGGCTCTGATGCCGAAAATGACGCTCCTCTTTTTGGTCATGGAGATACAAACGTGTTTCATACTCATCATCATCGAAAATCCCAACCGAAAGAATCATTGAACTCACCCACCCTTTCAGATCATCACCTCGACTTCTCAATTGCAGCACATGCTCGCTTGGCTGAACAGTACGAGAAAGCTCAGCCAGTGCCGGCTCCGTTCTCGAACAAAGTTATGACTCCTTCCCAGTTCGAACATTATCGCCAGCAGCAGGAGCTTAGAAGGTCGAATAGTCACGCCTCGAAGAGCGAGAATTCCGCCGAGAGTGACTATGAGGAGGAGGATGAGGTGGAGAAGGATCGCGAAGCAGATAGACAACGGCGAAAACAAGAGGCTCACTTGTCTGTTTACCGACAACAAATGATGAAGGTGACCGGCCAGGATTCTCCGGCACCAGCTCTGAGACCTGCTATGGATCGAGCTAGTAAGAGTGCACCAAATCTATTACACCCGGGAAATATATCAGGGAGTGGCAAAAGCAGTGATGGGGACGGGGACGAAGATGAGGAAATCCCTCTAGGGATTTTGGCTGCCCACGGGTTTCCCAACAGAAACCGGCCTCCAACTCGTCTAACACCGTCTAACTCTATACCAAATCTTCGTGCTTCTTTCCAACAGCCGTATGTGTCGTCACCTGGATCTGTTGCAGAGCACGACGTCAATAACCGCGGTAGTTTGCCTGTCTTCGCTCGAAACCTGCCACGGGATCCTTATTTTGGTGCAAGCCTGGTGAATCCTTCCAACAGGGAGTCTCTGGCTCTGGGAGGAGGTGCATCAGTTCACGGTGGGCCCTCTCCAGCGCTGCCCCCCGGAGGATTAGTAGGTGTCATTGCAACGGAGGAGCGAGCAAGAGCAATGAGACGAGGAAGCCCTAACACCCAAGCCATGTACGACTTCCAAGCTGGGATGTCTGTGCCGCCTGCCCATCCTGGTGGCGTCCCAAGACCATACACGATGATGAATTTGAGCTCGGCCAATACGGCTGGTATGCAACCCACGGTCTCCGCAACAGAACAGGCACAAATACAGCTGTCTCAGCAGATGACGCAAATGGTCCAGATGCAAATGCAATGGATGCAGCAGATGATTCAGATCCAAGGTGGACAGAGTAATCAACTCATGCTCCCCGGAGGAACCCCACCCACGCTGAATGCTAATGTGAATGTACGGCCATCGTCCATGCCGTCTGCTGGCAACATCAACAACGCCCCTGGTGTCTATCAGAGCGATCAGCGGACGCTGAGCATGCTTGATCCCAACGCCTCTTCACGTCTCAATAGTACAGCCATGCCATATGCATCGGGTGGTCTCAGGCCCAGCACACCAGCAGGGAAAGGCTATGCGCCGTCCATTGCTCCCTCGGAACGCAGCAATGTTGGTCTCGCGCCTCGTTATAGGCCAGTCTCAACAATGCAGCCCGAATTTGGGAGTACAAACGCCTCTTTCATGTCGAAACCATGGAATGATGAAAACCCAAGATCATCGGTCTCAGTTACCACCCCGGCCGGGTCACATATGTCGAGGGCCGCCATTCATCCAGTGACAAGTGATAGCAGGCCAGTTGACACTGGGAAACCGAACACTGGTACCGAGCCTGACGATGAAGACGATGACGAAGGCTGGGCCGAAATGATGAAGAAACGAGAAGATAAACGCAACAACTGGAAGATGAAGAAAGAAACATCGAGCTTCGGTGACCTACTAAATGCTGTGCATTGATATGGTTGGTAAGTGATATTATTATTGTGTTTGACAAGGGATGCCACTGCCTATACATCCTCTGCTTTTGCTGTTCGGCCAGATCATGGCGTTTCACACCGGCGCTCGATATTTCTCTTAGGGCTTTTTCTAAGAGCTTCGGCCTATACATGTTTGTTCATAACTATTCTCCCCTTCTCCCCATTCTTTCCTCATCTTTTTTTTAATCTTTCACATTTTCTGTCGCGCATTTTGGACATGGTCTCATTTTTCTCAACATTTATGTTCAGTGTCATCTCAGGGGCTTGTTTACAACATGAGGATGGGGTTTCCCTCTTCCGTGGCTTGCTTCTTTTTCTGTTTTGCCTCTTCGATTCGAGCAAGGTATGGTGGTTCATGAATGGCGTTCACATGGGTTGAGAATCCCTTACGCCTAGTAAGGGCCGTGATTGGCTCGCTCTGAAGCAAGTTGGCCTGTACTTTTCCTCTCTTGTATACTCAGGGCGTGACTGATCACCATAGCACATAATATATGGCAATAGGTCAGGGGGGCAGCATAACTTAGACGATAATATGTGGTATATGATTATATGGAGTTTTTTAGCAGGTTCTAGATGCCAGTTAGTGTAGTTTGATTGCAAAGTAAGATAAGATAGTCTGCCTCGCGTCCGTTGAACTCCGAAGAAGGTGGTTGGGCCAGTAAAAGTAGCGGGTCCTGATCACGTGCCACTTTGTCACGGGATCCTCTGATCTTCAGCACCGGGGCCTTGTTACGAAACAGTTTATATTATTCTGTCATCACAGACTGTCAAGAATACATCACATCACAACACATCACACTTTTCAAAGCATCTCTTACAGTTGTTTCACAAAGTGGGCTTTTCTTCTTCACTGCTGAGCTTCTCGCGTGCACCTGACAACCACTCACAATAATACAATCTTGCCTAAGGACAAGGAGTGAGCACAGAAGAAAGACAAGTGAAGAAGCAGAGAAGATAGAAGCGAGGAGTAGTATTTACCCCCAGCTTATCACTGCACTCATTCGGCTCCCTCTTTCCTATCTCACTATCTCATTTTTCTTCTTGACTTGTATCTGTCCCTATCAGGGTCTTCTTCCTCTTGCTTTTTTCTTTTTTCTTTTATTTGACTATTCCTGTTGTTTTGGATACAACCCTTGGATATTAAACCTACCTCCCTGTTCACACAGTGCAAAATGAACGCACCAGACCGGTAGGTATAATATTCTTTTAACTGTCTCTTCCTGTTACTTATAGCCCCGTTCCCCTTTTCATTTCCTGGAGGGTTATTTTGTCTATGTTTCTCTTCTCTTTCGGCTTTCTGTATCCAAGATGGGGATGGGGGTGCCTAGCAGGGCTCTGTAAGATATGGGCTCCTGCCTTTCCTATTCACTACCCTCGGGCTTGAGGATATCATGACCGGAATGGCCAGTACCACAATCCACCCCGGATTGCCCTCCTCCCATGTCTCTTTATTGAATGCCTTGTCCTTCTATCCCGTGTTTGTTCACTCCCAGAATCTTCTCCCTTTCTCCATAGCCTCCCGACATAATGAGTCCCACCAAGGAGTACATCATGCCCAAAGAAATGGCATACGCGCGTTGGAGAAACGGCAGCGGCGGAACCCCCCGCATTGGCTGCCAGTCCACTATCAATGTCTCCCATGACCAGCAGCCGAGGTCTGCTTCAGTTTTCTGATGCTTTATCCCCCACCCCCTCCCTGGTCTTTACCACATCACGCCGCCTGAAGGATGTCTTTTCTCAGGCTATACTGACAATATTTGAAATCCAGGTACGAGTCGTTCGTCCTTGCGAGTGGCGAGAACAAGGTGGAGATGGAAATTGATACTCGTGAGTTGTTTTGCTACCTGGTCCGCTGGCGTCTGCTGCTAAAATTGGTTGCCTCTGATAGGAATCCCATCTTCTGCAATCTTTACCTTCAACAAGGAAGATCACACCCTTGGGAACCTGATTCGCTCTCGGCTTTTGCAGAGCTCCCATGTCCTCTTCGCTGCCTACAAGGTCTGCTACCCCTGTAACGCGTGCCTGCCCAAGCCGAACTCAAATCCGCCTGTTTCACATTTGTCGTTTTGACTTGTACGTATCTGACGCTCTCGGTCCAGGTTCCTCATCCTCTTGTTCCGAAGTTTCTGCTCCGTGTTCAGACCGATGGCGACGTTACTCCCAAGGAAGCCGTCATTACAGCTTGCCATGAGCTTGTCCGTGACTTGGGTATCCTTTCTCGTGAGTTTACCAAGGAGTATGAGCTCCGCAAAATGGTGGGGGCAACCAGCCAGCAGCAGAATGGTGTCCAGGACGGTGTCTAAGGGCCGACCAGGCTACTGGGAAAGGAGCGCCGGGTCTGCGTTCACAGACATGTTTTCACTTCGGATCTACGCAGCTGGTCATGCGGGTCCTTCTCGTTTAAGGTCATACCCTCTATTTTAGTCCTGTTCTCATTGCCTGCTGTGATTAGTAGACCTAGCCCTCGGATACCTTGTTTTCCGGCTTCGGGCATATTGCGCGCATTGGGAATGATGTCATTGGTGTTGTAACTGGCCCTTGAAGCGATTAAACCGTAGGCAGTCTACCTAGGACCTTACTACATAGTACCACTCACTAACTTTGGGTACCTGAGTAATTGTGTACTTCGTAGTCAACCAACAGTAGTTAAGTAGAAGTACTAATAGTGATCCAGTGACCAAGTAAGAATCTTACTTGGTCACTGTGATCCCTGACTCTCTTTTATCTAAATTAATCTATCTTTTCTGTTACTTTGTGTGGCTGTTTTTTTATTAGATTATAAGCCCCGGACTTATTATTTAAAATTTATTGAATAATAATTTAATAATTTCTTTATTTTTTTATTATCAAATACTATAGTATATTATTAGATAGATTTTTAGATTGTTTATAATATTATTATATCTGTGTGTTAAATCAGTATATTTTTTATATTATAATTATATTAATTAGCCAGCAGTACTATCAGTATTATTTTTATTATTAAAATTATTATTTAAATAATTTAATTAGAGTGGCTTAACCTGACTGTTATATCTTAATCTTAATCTGATCATAATCTGGTGGTTAGATTAAGATATAAAAAATTTTTAATTATATAATTAAGATTAGAATAAGATATAATTATTATTTTAATTATTTATACTTACTAGTTAGAAAGATTAGATATAATAAATAAATTAATAATTATAAATTAATTTATAATATATATATTCTTTTTATATAAATAATATATAAAGTATAATATATATTTAATTATAATATAATAATATTCTTTAGATATAGTCTACTACTTAATTTATTTAATTAATTATTTTAAAAAATATATTATACTCTGAAAAAGACTTTTATAGAATCTAATATAAAAGAAATAAGAAAAAATATAAAATATTAAATTTAAAATATAATTATCTAATTAATTTATCTAATTAATCTAATTAAATCTAGTTAAAATAAAAAATATTTTTTAATTAAAACTAATTTAGTAGTCTACTATAATTAATATTTATTTAATATCTAAAAATTTTAATAATAATTATATATATATCTTTTTAAATAATTTTATAAAATATTCTTTAATCTATATTTAATTAGAAGAACTTAATTTTAATAAAAAAATAAAATAATAAAATTAATTATTTATTTAAATTAAATATATTTAATAATTTAAAATAATAAATAACAGATAATTATAAAATATAAAACTTAATTCTAAAAATTCTGTTTATTATAAATTATAAAGATCTAGAGAAAGATAATAATTAAAAAAGATTTATTTTAAAAAAAATAAATAAATATTTATAATAGCTTTTTACTTAGTATTTAATTAATTATTTATATAAATATAATAAATAATAATTTTTTCTTATAACTCTTACAGAGATAATAATTTATAAAATTAATTTTTAAATTTTTAATTTAGAAAAATAGAAGTAGAAAACTCTATAAAAATAATTTATTTTATTTTAAAATATATTTTTATATAAATATAATCTATTATATTTTAATATATAGCTAATATATCTACTATATTTTATTTATTTAAAATTTTAATAAATTTAATAAATAAAAATTTATATCTAAAATCTAAAATTATAAAATAATTTCTTCTTTTAAATAAAGGTGTTTAAAATATAATAAATTAAAATAAAAAATAGATTTTTATAAAAAGAATTTATAAAAAATTTTTATAAAATCTTTTATAAGAGCTATAATATTATAATATAAATTTAATATATTTTATTTATTTTATTTATTTTATTTATTTAATTTATTTAATTTATTTAATCTATTTAATTTATTTAATCTATTCTATTTTAATAATTTAATTATTCTTTTTAACTATTTTATATATAATCTATAATCTATTTTTAATTTTATTAATAGCTCTTTGAGCTATATCTTATTTCTAAATCTAAAAATAATCTAATTTAGAAAAAATAGTAGAATAAAATAATATATTTATTTTTAATATTTTAATTAATAATTAATATATAGTTTTCTAATATTTTATAATATAATTAAAATATATAACTAAAATAAAGTAATAATTATATATATTTTTATATTTTTTTTATTATAAGAATAATAATTTTATAAAAAACTAAATTTTATTAATATAACTAGAATTTTCTTATTATTTCTAATAAATAATAATAAAAAAATACTAATTTTTTTTAATTATATTTTTTTAATTTAAAAAGCTTTTTGTTTATATATTTTTAAATAATAATAAAAATAATTAGATTAATAATTATTTAATCTAAATATATCTTAATTATACTAGAGCTTAAAAAAATATAATAAATAAATCTTAATATTAAGAATAATTAAAATAATTAATTATCTGATTTTTAGCTATATTATAATTAAATATAAAATTTTTTTTAATCTAATTATAATCTGGTGATTAGATATAAAAATTCTAATTAATCTGACCTGACCTGGCTGTTAGCCACTCTAAATTTAATTTACTGAATCTAGATCTTATAATTATATTCTCAATATTATTAAAATAAATATAACTAGTAATACTAATCTATCTTTAATTCTTTATTTTTTTATAATTAATTAGATATAATTTATAAGGATAGTAATCCTTATAATACTCATAATATATTATATTATAAGAAATACTTATACTGCAGAGACAGTCTCTTATAAAATAATTATACTAGTATAATATATAATTTACAGAATTCTTATAAATATATCTATTTATAAAAAAAGCTAGATAGAAGACTAGTAATAATATTTTAAATAATATAAATATTATTTTAATATATATTTTTATAATCTTATTACTTAAAATCTATAAGATAATTTATTAAAATTATATTTATATAAAATATTAAATATTATATTTATAAAAATTCTTTTAATTTTTTTAAGACTAATTATAAAATTATTACAGAGAAAATAATTAAAATAAATATAATTTTATTTTTTTTTTAAAAATCTTTATAAATAATTAAATATATTTTAATAAATTATAGAACTAAAATAGAGCTTTAAAATTTTTATAAATAATAAAAAAACTTATAAATCTCTAAATAATTCTGATATTTTATTTATAAAATAAAAAAAGATTAATATATATATATATATATTTTATAAAATAATAAATATTATAGTATTTATAATTATATTATTTTTTAATTATTTATTATCTAATAAAAATCTACTACAAAGATTAATAATTAAAATAAAAATTAATAAATTGTGATAGAATAACCCAGCTATCGGGATAAAGGTCATCAGGATGATGTACTAGTGGTTATGAGAGTCATAAGATTATTAATAGTGGTTTTATATCTTTCTAATATCTATAAGATATCAATCTCTCTATAAGAAGCTACTAATTCTTCAAGAATTAATCTATCTTATAAATATAGACTATTTTTATTATTATTAAATAAATATATAATATTTTATAATTAATTTCTTATCTAGTTAACAGACTTTCTATTCTGATAAATAGATTCTATTATATTCTGATTTTTCTTTTTTTAACTATCTAAGAAAGATATTATTTATTAAAAATAATAAAGAAATAAAAACACTCAGTAATTAAATTAATTCAGAATTCTTATTAAATATTATTTCTATTATTAAAGAGATTTAACAGCTAGAAAATTATATTTATTAATTAAAATAAGCTATTAACTTATAGCAAAGAATAGCTTATCTTTAAAAAAATAGCTTCCCGAGTAAAATCTTCTTAAAATACTATTAATTCTTCCCCGAGTCAGAAAAAAATAAGAGAGAGATTAAATTTAAAGATATCTCTTATTTTATCCTAAACTTTAATCTCTAAAAATATTAAAAATAAATTATTAATTTAAAATATATATTCAGAGATATATTTAAGAAATATTTATTAAAAAAATACAAGATTCTCACTGCTATTAGTTATATAAATCTAGTATATAAACAGAGATAATATTATTTTATAAATAATAAAAGTCCGAAAAAAAGATAATTTCTTAAGAAATTATAATCTTAGTTTAAAGATTAGACTCTTATACTAATTTAAAATATTATTACTCTTTAATTAGATATTATAATTTAATTTAAACAGACTTATTAATAATATAGTCAGGATTCGCGAGAGTTTTATATTTATCTTAATATCTTAAAATAATACTTTTCTTATTAAGCAAAAAAAAAAAAAGTTTTATTTTATTTTATTAAGCTACTATTAGATTTAAATTATTATATTTAAGAATATATTTCTTATCTATCAGAGAAGCAGAATAAAATAATAACTATTACTACTTACTATTATAAACTATAAAAAAATAAAAAAAAATATAAGTAAAATAATAATTAATTTAGTAATTATAAGCCACGCAAGCGCTTTCAAGAAATTACTAGTAAAATTATTAAGAAAGATATCTTAAATTACAGAAAAAATCTTATTAGAAAAAATAATAATTAATTATAATATTTTATATATAAAAGTATCTAATATCTTATAAATTAATATTTTATTAAAGATAAAAGAATTTAATCTGCTAGAATCTATTAATTTTTATTAGATTTAAAAAAAAAAATAGAAAAGTTAGAATAAACTCTATAATTTTAATTTCTTTATCTACAGTAGAGATTATATATTATTTTTATATTTCTATTTATATTTAAAATAGTCTTAAAATCTTTGCAGATTTAAATAGCTGTGCTGAAGTAGATATTATTAGTTATTAGTTTATTAAAATTTATAATCTTTAATATATCCGGATTATTATGTCAAAAATTAAAATTATTAATTAAATTATTACTTTTATTTATAATATATAAAAAGTCCTTATTACTACTATTAATTTATAAGAAGATATCTGTATTTTTAAATAATATTATATAAAAATTAATCAGAATTCTTAATTAAAAGACAGCTCTGTATTATTTTTAATAACTATACTTTATAATCTATATATTATCTTATTAGTATAAAACCGCCAGTAATAATTTAGTATACTATCTATTTTATTACTTTCTATTACTTAATTTATTAAAATAACTTGAAACTTAGTAAGAGTATATATTATTATTAAGCTTCTTAAAAATATCTGGCTATTAGAAA